AAACTGCTTCTTACAAAGCTTTTCACTAGTAGAGAAAAGGCAAAGAAATTGACTACAAACCTGTGCCCAAGAATTGTTAAAAAAATACAGGATATTGAGAAGTTGGCTGCTGGTTTAATTGGGTACCAATGTGGTGACAATGAGTTTGAGATAACAGGAATGTCTGGTACACAACATGGGGTTGATCTGGAGAAGAGAATGTGTTCCTGTAGGATTGGGGACATAAAAGGGATACCTTGCAAGCATGCAGTGTGTGCAATTTGGATGAAATTTGGAAGGGGGGCAGTAGATGCCTATGTACACCCTAGTTATACAAAGGAGACATATATGAAGATATGTGGGGGGTCCATAAAGCCAATGGCAGGTCCAGATGAGTGGCCTATAACAGACAGACTACCTCCACTTCCACCTTTGTATTCTGCTAGACCTAGAAGACCTACCAAGTTGAGGAGGAAAAATGCAATGGACTTGAGCACTGATGGAGTGAAAGTAGCAAGAACACATGTAAGAAGAAAGGGCATAATGCAAGGAGATGTCCAGATGATCCAAACAACAAGGAAAAATTGGTATACTATAGTGTACTTTTTATGTTGTTCAATGTTATTTCGGATTTGTTGTGTTTGTTTTTATGTTAATTTTATATGTGCAGTGTTGATTTTGTAGTATTGTGTTGATTAAGTTAAGATTGTATGTGGTATTCTGTACTTAGATGCAGCCAAGGAAAAGAAGTAAGAAACCTAAAAAAAGCAAAATACTGGGGATGAGAGAGCTTCTATTGTCCAACAATTTGATGAGGTCAATCTAGTAGATATCAACCTGGTTTGTGCACAGGAGTCATCATTTGGAAGTGAAGTGTCTATAGTTGTCACTGTAGAGGACACTGGTATGTTCACACAAGACACACAACACACATTTGGAAGTGAAGTTCCTGTAGTTGTCAATGTTATGTTCAGTCAAGAAGGGCAAGAGGCTATGTTCAGTCAAGAAGGGCAAGAGGCTATGTTCAGTCAAGAAGAGAATGCAGAAGTGAATCAAGAAAATAGTGAAGAAGAGAAGCAAGAAGAGAGTGAAAAATCAAAACTGAAAAAGCTACTAGTAAAAAAAGGACCAAGGTATGCTACTAGATCAAAAAGTACATTCAAATCTGTGTTCTTTGGGAATGATGATGCCCCAATTGACTTAGATTAGTGGTTGCTGCAATTGATGTATGTTTTTGGTTTTCTGTAATTCTGTTAAATGTAGTGGGTGAACTTCTTTTTGCAATATGATGTGTCATTTAAATGATGCTTTGAATCTATGTTTGTGTATTTGTAACATCTTTGTAACTGATATCAGTTTATGACATATCAGTTTGATGACCTTACTTTGTAGCATGTTTCCATACCATTTGTAGCTACACAACCATTGTCTAATTTTCAATCCAAAACAGAGATATCATATATTATGCTCAAAAAATCATTCAAATGCATTGCTAACCAACTCAGAATAAGCTTTCAGTACAACAACAGTCTCACACCTCATGGGTGCATCTAAACCATAAGAAACATTACACAACTTAACCACTACAACTACATTATTTGACTTTCATATAAATTGATACAAATACAACAACAACTGAAATAATACAGACCAATGTCCTACATTTACTACAGCTTCTCTTCATCTTCTCAGCTTTTAACCCTTGCATCTCTAATATATCAAGCTTCATCTCCAATGTACTGATTTTTTCCTCATACCCATTGATCTTTTTCTAAAGCCCTGGAATTAGTTTTTGAGACCTCTTGCACATTGGAGGGTCAAACCACTCCATTAAACCACTTGAAAAGTCTGCAACAACAACATATAAACATGCATTGTTAACTGTATAGTGCAATCAAGAATTTATTCAGATAATTTGGGGAAACAAAAACAACAATCCAAAATGTATTATTCAAGAATTTATTCAGAGAATTTATTCAAAAATTTAAATGTATACTACAATCAAGACGAACAACAAAAAAATTGACTTCCAATGCATTTCCAAAACCTTCTCCCACTGTTCCCCGATTTCCATGTTGTAAAAAGCTTCATTTGTTGACCACATTCGCAATAGGTGACTGCAATCCACTCGCCATATTCGTATTGACCTACTAATTTTGAACTTGCAGCTTCACAAGTAGACATCTCCGCTTCCAAAAAATTAGGGTTCACTGCAATTTAAAGCTCTGAGCTTCGTTTTGGTGAAGGTCATATAACACGTTAGGTAGCAGGAAGTAAATGATAATAAATGACCCGACTACCCTTCATTAATGTCATTATAATTCTTACCGGCTTAAATTCGTCGGAATGTTGGCCGGAAGGACCACGGGTGGTGAGGGGAACATTGTCACGGACTAAATGTGGACAATTTGAAAGTCAAGAACTAAATGTGGAAGTGGTATAATAGTCATGGGACCAAAAGTGGAATTTTTTAATAAATAGAAAATGAGTCATGGTTTTTCTGTAGTAAATTCAATCAACTTGGTCCATGCTTTTCAAGCACCTCTTAAGACCATTCAAAATTTCAAAATCCATGGAAGTGAGGATACCATGATGTAACAATATACTAAGTAAGCATATACACTTTTAGTAATAAAACCAGTTCCAAATTTGGACACAACTGAAAAGAACGAACTGTTTAGATGAAATCATAAAAGTAAAAGTAAAAGCCGAGCTGGTATATGAAATTGGCATACACCTACAGACTATCACTCGTATTCTGCCATCAAAGAAGCTAAAACATATGTAGTGTCAAATTCTACCATTGATGCCTCAGAGATACTTCTTAATGCTTCTGGCAATTTTTTTGGCATAAAAAGCATATATAGGCTTGTCATTATATTTAGGTTAAAATTAAGAATTAAAATTAAACGAGGTAGTAGGCTGCTAGCCCGCTACAGTCTTCGTTTGTCGATTCAGAATCCGAACGAGAAAAAGAAGAAGAAGAATCACCGACTCAGTCCACTGGTAGGCTGGGGATGGAGTGAGGTCGAGAGAAACCATATTGAAACCCTATTTCAACGTGAGATTTGAAGTCATTGGAGTAGCTTCACACTATCGTCGCCATCGCACCTTCGCCAGACCTCATTGTCGTTCAATCGCTTCGGGTTTTGCTATTATTGTTCAATCGCTTCACTGATAGCTGAACCGTTCAGGACGAGAATCAATTAACGGTTTTAAGTAGACAAGAATCGCTCGATCTGGAAGAAGATCGCTAATGGAGAATGGAAGAGAAGGGGCTCGACTTAGATTTAGAAGTGGACAAGAATCTGTCTATCCCTTGACTGAATACGAAGGGTTAAGAATAAAGGAATGGCTTAAAAATAAAAAGTTAATAAAGATATTATTATGCCGAAAACAGTGATACGTATGTGTCGTTAAAGTTATATTGTAAAAGTTATATTGATGTTCTAGTGTCACTAAAAAAGTGTCACTCTAAACCAATTTTTTAGTAGTGTAAGTATGAAGGGAGATTTACCTAAATAGTACCAAAACATGGCTTTTTTCCCAAAATAGGACCAATTAGTTTAAACATTCTTAAATAGAACTTTTTATGTGTGATTGGACCAAAATACCCCCACTGCTGCCCCTCCACCTCCGGCCAGCCACCTGCCGCCTGCCACCAGAGCTCCGGCCACCGCCACCGCCGCCGCCGCCACCGGAGCACCGCCGGAAAATTCCAAAAAATGTTTGGCAGACTGCCAGATTCTGCCGCCGCCGTCACCCGCCGCCACCGCCACCACCCGCCGCCGCTGCCGCCGCCGGAGCACCGCCGGAAAATTCAAAACAAATAACTGGCAGACTGCCAGATTCTGCTGTCGCCGCCTCCGCCACCGCCGGAGTTCTCCGCCGCCGCAATGGTGTTTATCAGAATTTATTGTTTATTTATTGTCTACTTATTGTCTATTTATTGTCTATTTAATGTCTGTTATTTTCTTGCCGCCGCCGGAAACCGCCGCCACTGCCGCCGCCGCCACCAGAAATCGCATCTTCCGCTGCCGCCGAGCTGCCGCCACCTCCAGACTGCCTTGGTTGTGCAATGAAACTGGGGGGGCAATTATTTAGATCAATTAATTAATTAAATAGAATTAGGGGTAAAAAAGGTAAGGTTAGTCCTATTTAGAGAAAAACATGCATGTGGTCCTTGAGTCCGTGCTCTCTTGAGACACTAGTTTGCTTTCACGATTGGTTGAAGGCCCAACGAAGAACTCAAGAAATTACCATCGCTCCCACCCGCCACTTTATGGAGGAAACAACCGAAGGCGGAGATTCCGATTGATTTTTTATTACAAAATGTATTACATTTTTTAAACTCATCCTAATTTTCAATTGTACTTCTTATTTGAAATAAATATACTTGAATTAGAATATAATATATTGTAATTGTAATAAAAATTATTCTAATAATATAATATATAATAAAAAAAATTAAAAGGCTCAGCCCGGCGGGCGGCCCGGCCCGTGCACCGGGCGGGTGACCCAAACCGAACCAGACCCAGGGTTATCTGGGCCAGTTCCGGGCCTGCCTTCCGTGAACCGAAGCCCGGCCAGTTCAAGGCCCGAGCCGGGCCCGGCCCGAACCGAGTCCACCACTAAATGTATCTGTGATTCTGTATACATATACGTATAGATATATGATACTATGCACATCATGTGAGTCCATGCACATGATGTGCATAGTCCGATTATCATTGGTATACAGATCTCCTGACTCTGCAAGATTTTTCATTTGTCCAAGTTCACTTTTAATCAAAAGTTAAGTTAAGGATTCATTTTTAAATTTGGTCTATGATGTACCCTGCAAACACACGATTTTACTTTCTAATGCGTATCTAACACGTAGTAGTTAAGATTATTTCAGGAGAAATTAAACATAGAACAAATACTATAATAGGTTAGAAAGCTTTGCCAAAAAAAGAGATTAAACATGCTAGAATGCAATTTTTCTAGTGATCCTATGATGAAATTAACAGTTAATGCTAATGAATTAAAATGTTGGATTATTAATTCAATTTTTAGCTGAAAACCAAGTTGGACTCGATATTCCCATTGGTACGAAAATCCTTTGTCTACTGTATACATGTGTGTGGATGTATACAAATACGTTACAAATAGACAAATAGTATTTCAATGTTGACGGATGATTAACCTTATCACAGACTAGCAGTTGCAGCAGTACTGCAGTAACAATTTTGTACATTTTATTAATATAATTACAACTATAATTTTAAACAAGCAAAACGACACGTACTGTCCTATTGAAATCCTCACTAGATTGAAACAATGGATTTATTCGTAGGACCATCACTCTCATGTTTGCTAATATCAAGAATCCCTTCAGTAGCAATAACCTTGTCTCCGGGTATTTCTTTCACATTTGGAGTTTGATCCTTGTCATTGTCACTTGATTCATTTGTCACAGCACCACCCAATTCCTCTCGTGCATCAAATTCCTGGGGAGATTGAATTGCCAAATCAGTTAGTGGTGATACACTTACAAGAACATCTGTCTCAGAAGATGGTAATATAAAGGATGTCATACAATCTGTATTGTGAATCACCTTTGTCTTTGAAATAGAAGCCACCTCCAGAGAAGGATCTTCTTGACACGACTCTTTCCTGTCAGAATTATGAGGAAAATTCTCGTTTTCGCTCACTTGAACTCTTGAAACAATGGATTTATTTGTAGACAGACAATCACTCTCTAGATTGCTAATATCAAGAGTCCCTTCAGTAGCATTAACCTTGTCTTCGTGTATTTCTTTCACATATTGAGTTTGATTCTTCTCAATCTCACTTGAATCATTTGTCACAGCACCCACTGCCTCTCCTACATCACACTGCCCGGAATATTGAATTGCCAAATCTGTTAGTGGTGATACACTTACAAGAATATCTCTCTCAGAAGATGGTGATATGACGGATTTCATGCAATCTGTATTGCCAATCACCTTTGTCGTTGATATAGAAGCCACCTCCAGAGAAGTATCTTCTTGACAGTGCTCTTTCATGTCAGCTTTATGAGGATAACTGTCATGTTCACTCACTTGAGCTCTTGAAACAATGGATTTATTCATAGAAGGGCTATTACTCTCTAGTTTGGTAATATTGGGAGTCCCTTCAGTAGAATTAAACTTGTCTTCATGTATTTCTTTCACATTTGGAGTTTGATCATTCTCAGTGTCACTTGAATCATTTGTCACAGCACCCTTTGCCTCTCCAACATCAACTTGCGGGGAAGATTGAATTGCCAAATCTGTTTGTGGTGATGCACTTGCAAGAACAACTGTCTCAGAAGATGGTTTTATGAAGAATTTCATGCAATCTGTATTGTAAATTGCCTTTGTCTTTGAAATAGAAGCCAACTCCAGAGAAGGATCTTCTTGACACGGCTCTTTCCTGTCAGCTTTATGAGGATAATTCTCGTGTTCGTTCACTTGAGCTCTTAAAACAATGGATTTATTCGTAGAAGGAACGTCACTCTCTAGTTTGCTCATATCTAGAGTCCCTTCAGTAGCATTAACCTTGTCTCCATGTATTCCTTTACACTCTTCCTGATCGAGATCATCAGGCAGAACTTGTGCATGCCCTGAAGCTGAAATAAGAGTTTCTGTCAAGCTCTGCATCTTGCAAGCCTGAATAGAGGGATTTGCAGCCACAGAGGAAGTAATTCTAGCCCCTTGCGGGGAAGATTGAATTGCCAAATCTGTTTGTGGTGATGCATTTGCAAGAACAACTGTCCCAGAAGATGGTTTTATGAAGGATTTCATGCGATCTGTATTGTCACTTGCCTTTGTCCTTGATATAGAAGCCACCTCCAGAGAAGGATCTTCTTTGTCTTCAATGCTCTGGTTCTCGCTAAGTTTAGCCTCCACGTGTGAAGGTTTAGCTGAGACATCTTCCTCCAGTACATCAGATATTGTACTGTCTAACGCAACTCCAAAAGGTGTTGAACTTTCAATTTTCTGTGGATCTCCAAGTGTAACTTCCTTCATTTGCGCAGAACCAGGCTTATTTTCAGAACTTTGGAAAGCATTAGAATAGCTTTGAGACGCAACCGTAGCTGACTTTGAAGTGAAATCATTCTGAGGCTCACTTCTACAATCTTCACCTGCAACATTACCAACGCAAGTCCAACTTTTCAGAACTTCATACAGCCATAGTTACTACATTATCACTTAGTGCAAGTAAAAATGGAGATTCATTTACCTCTCAGATTCACATCTGTTTTTCTTTCTGATACCTCAAACTCCGAGTGGAACTCTGTTTTTGTACCGATATCATCATTCACATTTGCCACGTGAACTTGTTGAGCTGTTGGGCTAACACTGGCTTGAGATGGATATGATTTGACAGCCTTTTGTTGCTCAATTTCAATACTGCAGTTACGATCTTCAGCGACTTTAGACATATCTGGTCCGAGCAAACTCTTCTGTAGCAAATCTTCATTTTCATGCTTGCTTCTCGTGGTGGGCTTCCTCCCAGCAGAAACCCTAGACTTTTTATGTGGGGGTCCATTTAATTCTAAGTTTTGCTCCCGTGATATTTCAGAACAAACATCTGTAACCAAATCCTGTTTCTTTCCCCTGCGCCCAGGCGCTCCCCCCCTTCCTGTCTGAGATTTGCGCCCTCTTCCTCTACCTTGCTTAGTAGTAGATATGGGAGCAAAAATGTCAGATCCTGTATTTGTAGCAGACACTGATGCTGCTGGTTCAGAAGTAAGAGCTAGCTGATTGCCACAATCTTGCTCACCAACATTCCCAATGTTGGAAGACTTATTATCTAAAGAGGCACAGTCAGGAACCGGGGGACAGGAAAGAATTGGTGCTCTCTCTTGACCTGTTTTAATATAGCTTTCTGCAGGGGACAACAAAATAGCAGGAACAATTGAATTTAAACTTGACACTTTACTTCCAGAAGATGAAAAAACAGCAGGTGATACAGCGCTTTCATCCTTTCCAGTAGAAGATAATGCAAGAGGAGCAGGTAAAACAGAGATCGACTCTTTGGTTGTTGTAGATGTCGCAACAGGAAGAGCTGAAACAATAGTTGGTTCCTTGCTAGCAGATGCAGACACAGCAGGTGGAGCGGAGCTTAGTCCACTGGTAGTTTCCTTCTCAGGGATATAACGGGGGAAAAGATCTTGATCATTAGTTGTTGATAAACTAGAAACAGTTGTTGCCTGTGGTACACTCTCAGGATTGCCTGGACAGACAGAAACACCTTGTATTACTGTTTTCTGCTTTTTCCCCCGCTGCCTTGGTGCTTCTCCCATTTGTGACTTTCTTCCTCTCCCTTGACCACGTCCCCTCCCTCGACCTGAAGTAGGATGACCGAGGGGAGCTGACTGAGATGAAGCAGGAACAGCTGAGGGAGAAATTGACTGAGGATTAGGCAAAATGCTTGCAGGAATCTGCTGGATGGTTCCAATCACACCTTCAACATTGGAAAAACAAGGTATAGACTCGGGACGATTGGGAAGACTCACGGAACAGCTAGAAATGTTCTGTATATGGGACCCCATAATCAATGCATCTCCTTTAACTCCATGAGATGTGATTGGTGATGGAGAAACATTAGCCACTGATACTGCCTTTTTTGGTCTCCCACGTCCCCTTTTAGTAGGAACTGGGTTTGCAATAGGCACTGGAGTTTGTTGTGAAGCCTGGAATGATGTGCTGTATTGAGGAATAGGTGCTGGAAGCTGTTGTAAATGCTGGGGCAATGTGTTGTGTTGTGCAATAGGCACTGGAGTTTGATTTGAAACCTGGACCAATGTGTTGGGTTGATTAATAGGCACTGGACTTTGTTGCAGAGGCTGGAGCAATGTGTTGGGTTGAGGAACAGGCATTGGAGTTTGTTGCGAAGTCTGGATCAATGAATTGTGTTGAGCAATAGGCACTGGAGTCAGTTGTGGAGCCTGGAGAGGTCTGCTGTTTTGAGCAATAGGCACTGGAGTTCGTTGTGAAGACTGGGTCAATATGTTGTGTTTAGCCATAGGCACTGGAGTTTGTAGTGAAGGTTGGAGCAATATACTGTGTTGAGCAGTAGGCACAGGAGTTAGTGATGTGCTGTGTTGAGCAGTAGGCACAGGAGTTAGCGATGTGCTGTGTTGAGCAGTAGGCACAGGAGTTAGCGATGTGCTGTGCTGAGCAATAGGCACAGGAGTTAGCGATGTGCTGTGCTGAGCAATAGGCACAGGAGTTAGCGATGTGCTGTGCTGAGCAATAGGCACAGGAGTTAGCGATGTGCTGTGCTGAGCAATAGGCACAGGAGTTAGCGATGTGCTGTGCTGAGCAATAGGCACAGGAGTTAGCGATGTGCTGTGCTGAGCAATAGGCACTGAAGTTAGCTGTGAAGGATGGATTAATGTGTTGTGTTGAGCAATAGGAATTGGAGTTTGCTGTGAAGGCTGGAGTGGTGTTAGACCTTGCTCTTCAGCAATAGCTCGACCAGGACCACTACTTGTGAACAGTTTCTTCTCTGATATTTCATCTTTCACAGCAGAGGATTCAGGTGATTCAGCAAGACACATCTTTTCAAATTCCTCCTCTGTCCATTGCTCTTCATAGGAGCGCACCTTGAGAATTAGGTAAAAAGAATGAGTAATAGGGTATAAGTCCACACTCAAGCAATTTAAAACATAATAAATTGAGGAAAGTGCACATGTGGTAGTGGGGTGCATAGAGTTCACTCAGCTTTAGTCACCCTAAAAATGGCCCTGCTAGGACACTGACCGAAATCATGTTAAATCTAACCTCTGTGCACTGTGTTTCCCATGAAAAGTCCATAACTGAAGCAACCAGCTTCTTATTTTCTAACTTTCTATCGTGAGATATCTAATGGACTTCCAATTAAAGATGAGTGAATCCTACATAATGATTCACGTGAAATCTAAATAGTAGCAGCTTTAGAAACAAATTCCATGAGCTGCCTCTTTGCTCCCTTCGGATAGAAGTAATTAATAATACCTTAGGGAGTTCGGGTTAGTATTTTTTAACAACACCTAGATTTTGAGTAGTGTATTACATAATTGAACGTAAGGCTTAATGATTTAATGTGTGTTTTAGGACATAGGTCCTTAGAAGATACAATGTAACCAACCTCTCTAGCTCTTTTACCCCGTCCATAATGTTGGGTGTCAAGACCTCCAAGATATTGACTCTTGCGCTTAACCCCAGCAGTGCTAGGTATTACGGATGGAGGAGCCTGGGATATTTTCATTGCCTCATAAAATGGGTATAACTCTTCCTCCGTTACAAGTCGAGAAGGCAAAGGGGGAATAGACTCAGAATATTCTACTCCCTTTTCTGAACAGACTTTCTTCCAAGCTACCTGTAAGGTGATTTTTCAATGAGAGAATGATAGGATACAAAAATGACCAAAACTACATACAGAAGAGTGAAGAGAAACTAGATGACAGGATGAAAAGACCACAGAGTGATCATGAGTATTCAGTAGGTACCATCTCTTCTTCTCGTCTCCTTCTGTCTACTGATTCAAATACATCAATCTCTGCCTCACTAAACACAGAAAAGGAAATGAGCACCATAGAAAGCTAGATAGCAGAAGTATACTAACTATACGAAATAATATGCAGTAATCAAGTAAAGAGCACCACAAACCGACTCTAGATGCAGTAAAAGCATTTAAATGAGGGATATAAATGTGCAAACAAAAGAGAGAAAAGGAAAGTGCATAGCTAGCAACTTTGGCATGTTCATGGGCGGAACTAGGGGGCAACCTAGGCCCTGGCCCACCCCAAATTTAAAAAATGGTTTAATTTTTAATGTAAAAAAATAGTGAAAAAAAATTTCCAAAATATATTCTTTATACCAGCCCAGTGGCCCAACGCCCTGGCTCCGACCCTCATGTCATTTCCATGACAAACTTTTTAAAAGAGGAAAGTGTGCATAAGTGACAAAGCCAAAACAAACTTCTCTAGAGCTAAACTCACAGAAATGCAACAAGACACCCATTTGTCATAAGTTCATTTTCTAGCTCACCATGAATTGAGAAGGGGGGATGGAAAAATGAAAGGGAAAAATCACATATAGCATCAGCTGTTCACCTGCGTGCAATAAGATCATTAAGAGCATCATCATCTAGCACAGGTGCAGCTTCCTCTTTCTTGCTTTCTCGCAGAAGGGACTCCAAGTATTCTCTTCGATCCTCCGCACTGCAATTTGAACAAGCAGGTTATGAAAGGTTTACTAAGCCAATGATAAAATAATCAGCTTAAACAATCATTCAATAGACCTCGTGTTATTGTCGAAAAACCCTGCAGTAATGCTCTGATTAGCCACCCCAAGTTTGTGCTCCGCAGCAGCTCTTACCTGTTCCTCCACAGATTGCACCTAAACCAAAAAAAGCAGAAGGATAGCAACTCAAGAAAGCACTTTTAGGAACTTGAATTGTTACAAATAAAATTGAATGTGAATGCAACAAATATAGTACTCCCACAGTCCCACCTATATTTGGTTACAGCATCATAATCAAACTATTCTAATTATTTTTAATTCGTACAACACCAAGACTGGCAACGAGAATTGACAGTGTTTGATCTTATTCACCACAACCAAGCCTGTAGAAGCATCCTTGCCAAAAAGCAACATATACATTCCACAACTAAAAAAGGTCATTTAATTAACAATGAATTCCAAAGCAGCAACCTCCTAAGGGGTCCTTGATTTCAACATGCCATAAAGAACTAAAAGAGTATATGAACACAGGAAAAAAATTGATTTAAATTATGACTAACGAACTAGCTATAAACAATATGAACAGTCGTCCGAAAAACGATATAAGCAGGGAAAGGATGACACCTACTCCCTCTAACCCATAACAAGTAATCTCATAATCCAGTTTCAAACACCTTTATTGTGCGGAAAATCATGGTTGATCAAACGAAGCTAATTTTTCATGTAATTTGCGAGAAAACTAGCCAGAGAAATTGTGACAAGTTTGGTTCAACAAACAAAAAACTGAAAATTAATTTTAGTAGGATTCATGACTTGTGGCAATTGTACACTTGTACCTTACCAAAATTAAGAAGTGCACAATGGCTTGGATAATAATAGAGGCCAACATCGAGATCATTGAAGAGAAAATATGAACCTTTCCCATTTAATTTGAAGCTAAATGTACATACCGTTTCTAATCGAAGAACAAGAACATCCTTCTTTTGCCCTATTCTGTGGGCCCTTGCCTGCGCTTGCAAATCAACCTAAGGAATGAAGAGAATAATTTTTTAAAAACAATACTTATAGTAGGCATTCAAGATTAATGTTGAGCAGTTGACATAGAATTGCCTGTGGATTCCAATCAGTGTCAAAGATTATCACTGTATCGGCAGCCTGAAGATTCACCCCAACACCTCCAGCCCGGATACTGGAACAAACTTATTATTAGATAGTTATACAAACATGGAAAATGCAAACATATAATCCATGTTCTCTTTAAAGGATTTTAGTGGAAAATAAGCAATATATTTCTTTAGATATTCTTAGGTGACAGATAGTTGAGAACATAGATATTGTCTCTAAAGTGACCACTGGTAAAGAACAAAGTGGGTATATCATGTTAAATTTGAGAGATTGCATTTCTTCACAGCGTATAAAATTTTGAAATGTAATACTTAGGTATAACTGAAAAATAATCCGTATTCGACATGGGAACTACATAATTTTTCTGGGGCAGCAATGCATGCGGTCAAACCACATGTTTACAAATATTATACATTTGTTACATTTCAGTGGCCAGAACACATCTCTCTAATAAAAACAGATCACAACATATTCTTCACTCACAACTAGAATTATCAAAATCATCAGAGAAATGGATGGCAGTGCCTGTAATTATGGTTTTGAAAAAAAAATGCACTTGGATTCCAGTACTCTCAATCATCCACTCTTGAAACACCTACCTAGAATTGTCAAGTAACAATATTATACTGAATCAAATTTTTGTGTAGTTTCTAATTACCTTAGCAAAAATATAAAATATGGAGAATTTGGGTCATTGAACTTTTCTATAAGGGCTCCTCGCTCACCCCCAGATGTATGTCCATCCAAGCGAAGATACTTGTACTCTTTCCCGTAAAGATACTCCTCCATCACATCAAGAAGTCGAGTCATTGTTGAGAACAGCAGGACCTGGAAAAGATCAAATCTCAATAACAGCAATTTTTAGTGCTTGAAGTCTTGAAACTGTTACTACAGAGCATTGTCAATTTCAGAAAGGTAGTAAGTAGTCATGCATGAACTTCATTATAGTGTTATGCTGTTATGTCATTTTCTACGAGAGTACTTGGCCCCAAACCTTGCTGTGTTACCTACCTATTCGGTAGGTTTCAAAAAACGAGTTACTCGGCGAGTAATAAAAGATTTAGCGACCCAGTCAGTCCTATTACTCAGCGAGTAACTCGGTTGTAGTTGAATGTGATAGATTGAAAAAAAGAAAATGGTCATTAATCATTTTGGGATTATTAAAAAAAGCTTCAAAACTTTATCTTAATAAAACACTTCTTCAAGGTTTTCTTAAAATGAAAAATTCTCACCCCAAGATTTGAATGTAGACCATGAGGAAGATGAAGGTAATGCTGATATTGAACTAAATTCAGATATAAGAAGTTAGAATTGGTTCGATGATGAGAACATCTCTAAATGTTTAATGAGTATTGCTGACTTGCTAATTGTGGATTATTATTTTATGTTTTATATATAAGACTGTAAGACTAACATTATTAGAAGTTATAGTGTATCTTTTATTAAACTTAAATAGCCAAGTAATCACCGATAACTCCAGACCAACTAATCCTAATTGGGTCTTGGCCTTTGATTTAGTAACTATCGGGTAACACTGTAACAATTTAACTACTTAGTTATAGACTTATAGTGCAAAATCAAAAAGGATATACTACACACATAAATTCCTTTTAAGTTAGATGTGTGCTTGTATGCGTATCAAGTGTGAGTATTATGGTCATTAATATACTCCAATAGCACTTGAGACTATTTACATACCCGATGATCTGTGGCCTTTAACTTCGGCAATAATCTATCAAGGACCTCAAGCTTCCCACAAAGTCTTACCACAAATGGCAAGTAATGTTTAGGAATGAACTCGTGAACCTAAAAGCATCACAAATATGTCCGAGAAAACTAAGAAAATCAACGCAGCAATTCCAAAACAACTTTTATAAACATCCATGCAGGATGCCAAACGGTAAACCATGTTAGCTAGAGTGCTCGCTCAAACAAGACCATTCTTTTGAATGAATTTCATGAACGTATTAGTGTTATTTTTAGGTCATGTATGGACCAGCACACTGCCCACACTCAACCAATCAACATCTTCAAACTTATAAATACAACATAATAAATGAGAATAAGAGAAAGATGTACCTCCTCTACATGAATCTGACTAAGATATGGATGATTGCATATGTTACGGAGCTCCATCACCGAATTGTGAATGGATCGAGCCTAATAAAAGAGTTAAATTCAGGAAAGAGTAGGAATAAAGTGTGATGATGATTTGTTGAAATAAGCTTTTATATACATCCAAGATCATCATGTCCATAAAAAATGAATATAGAAAGATATCTCAACTCATCGTTGTCTCATGATATTTCCCACGCATGCGGTTGTAATCTATGATAATGATGAATTTAGAGTTTTCATCACATCAATCATCATCCCTAACTCAGAAAGTTACAACAGGAAGACCATCGTAAAACATTGTCATTTGCCACAGTTTTTTGTTTGCATGAATAAATAGTGTGGTAAGTAACTTTATACAATTAACTAGCACAATAACTTTAATGCCACTGACCAAACTAGTTGGAACTAATGTTGAGAATGATGATTACATTATGTATCAACATCTGAAAATAGGGGATTAATAAATTTGAACATATTTTTCCATCATTTCCCGTGGAGCCAAAGACTACAATTTTTGGCTTGGGTATATCATCGAATAAAGCAAAATGGCTCACTAAACTGTCTCCTTTTCTTTGTTATGAAGCAGCATTCAGTCCATACAATTTTCGATGTGATTTTCATCATGGATCATCCGGAATAGTCTCTTTGTGCTTTAGTACAGGGGTAAGGTTGCGTACATCCGACCCTCCCCCTTACCCTACCATAGGTGGGAGCCTTTGCGGCACTGGGGTAATGTTGTTGTTGAATAAATTTGAACATATACTACCTCCGTCTCGGGTCAAGGTTCTCATTGCAAAATGGCACGGTTAATTTAGACAATAACTATATACGGTAATTCGAGTATATTTTTGACAATTAATTTTGATAGGTATATAATATAATGGAGTCATTGATGATAACTGTAATGTTATAGGTGTATTATTTTAATTATTTTATGATTAAGTTGGCATTTAAGAGTGATAATTATTCCCTAAAATAAAAATGAAAACCTTTTAGCTTGCACGTCCAAAAAAGGAAAGTGAGAACCTTAAGCTGGGAGGGATACTCTCACTTGTTTGGCAAAATAGATTTTATATCACTTAATTAATGCACTTTCTTAAACCAATACATCTTTTCTACCATGATGGTTTTGCTGGACAAAGGGAAGTGGATGCAGTCAGTAAATAACCAATGACACATTAAAATTATATTCTTTAGCACATTTTGACCTATAAGGCCATGCAATAAATACAAGAAACAGTGACTATGAAGATCCAATTGCAACTATGAAACAGAAAAAAGATAATGCTTTTGATGTAATGAATTTAAAGTGACCTTTGAAGATCCAATTGCACCAAGATTATCTTCTACCCTCCTCATCAACAACTTTTGATATGCCGAAGCTTCACACCTTACAAGTCTTTCAATCTTCTCAGGCAATTGATTCTCAACCTGTTATAATAATTTGAAAAGGAAAAATATCAAGACTACGTGTAATAGAATATACAAACTTGTGCGTGAAACCCTTAAAGAGTTATTTAATATGTGAGCAGGTGCAACGAAATGAAGCAGAAATATGTAAATCTGGTAAACACTTGGCACAAAGATTTTTCTTGTAGAATAGCAAAATGTACTAAAGCATGAACTAAGTCACCAGGATTCAGGAACACTAATACCAACTTTGGGGAACAAGGGGTATATTGACTATTCAAATTTAATTAGAACTTAAAAGTGCCTGTTATCAAATCTCACATGTTAAATTTCATGTTTTTTGTTCCCTTAACATTGCTATCTAGCGGTGTTAAACCGCCACGTTTAAGCCCCGTTCATTTTTAAGCTATCTTAAATAATCTGTCTTAATATTCTTCCTCTGAAAGTCTTAGCTAATAGCCTCATAGCATTTCCTAGTATGTAACCAATCATTCAAAGAGGTCCCTTGTAGAACTACTTCATACTCCCTCCGTCCCATAAAATAAGTCCCATTTTCCTTTTTGGGCCGTCCCAAAAAATTGTTCCCATTTCCCTATTTGGAAAGTTTTGTGTGGCTAACATTCATTTACCTTTTTCTTATTCAACCACAACCATACATTTCCACTTTATTCCCACTTTCTTAAACTCCGATCCAAATTGAAATGGGACTTATTTTATGGGACGGAGGGAGTATACAATAACAAAACCAGACCATGTTTGCCTATCTCTCTCAAGTTATCCTCATGAGATGCCACTGTGCCTACCTTTATCTGACTACCAAATTGGAAATAACAACACCTTTGGTCACAACTTAACTAATCTGACTACCATCTTCTTAATAACAAGTATGTTCCAATTCTTTGTCAAAATCAGATAGCAATCAGGAATTACCATGTAAGCAGCCAAAGCAAGCATACCTTGTGTTTCAATCTTCGGAGCACAAATGGACGCAGAACTTGGTGAAGACGGTTTATAATTAAAAGGTTCTCTTCCTCAGAGAGTAAAGCCTAACCATAATCATAATAAGCATAAGCATTAGGAATATAATAAACCCAGACATAAGGTAAACACCACCAGCATTTCAAGCAAAAGAATCTAGCATACTTACTTCATCAGGAGAGTTGTCACCATTGCTCTCAAATGGTTTGTTAAACCACTGAGAGAAATCTTCTGATGAGTTAAATATATTTGGCAAGAGAAAATTGAGAAGTGCCCATAGTTCCTCAAGATTGTTCTACAAATGGTGCCATGTATAGAAATTTTCATAATCACATGCACGGAAAGAATTTATCAGTTTGATACAAAGTGTAAGTGATGCACCAATACCTGTAAAGGTGTTCCTGTTAACAGCAATCTGTGATTACTACGATAGAGCTTCAATTCAGCATTTAACTTGCACGAAGCATTTTTTATGCGATGTCCTTCATCAATTATAATGTAATGCCAATGTATTTTACTTAGCTTCGGTCTGTCATGCTTATTCATTAAATACTCATATGTTGTCAACAGAACATTAAACTTCTGATGGACAATTCTCTCCCTGCCATGACAAGTAAACAAAAGAGAATGCTAGTGAATACAAGTGATCTTACAAAAGTAAAAAAAATACAAATTTGATGTCTAATCATGCCATACTTAAAAAGCCTTCTCCTCTCTTCAGGTGGTCCCGAGTACACTATTTTATTGATGCTGGGTGCCCAAAAGTTCATTTCTGATTCCCAACCAGGTAGGACAGAGGATGGCACAACCACCAAAAAGGGACCACGATCATTTTTTGTCTCCATCAAGTAACAGATTAAAGAAATAACCTGAAAATGTTGTCATTAGATCCTGCACTTGTAATTCTATATACCTCAGAATCTCCCTCAGTCTCCTATACACTCCCTCTATCCCCAAATTAGATTCTTGTTTTCTTTTCGTATGCTTATTATGAAAGTGAAACTCTGGTATAGATATATATAGAAAGGAAGGGAACCATATGAACCACAAAATTCTTTTTCTGAAAAGTAGATGAAAATTTAATATCAGGAAAGACGCGAAAGAAAATTAGAGGCTAATTTGGGGATAGAGATTAGAGAGTATATTTTAAACAACCAACGCACATTGAATTCAGAATATATTAGATCAGTTGCACCCACAAGCAAAACTTAAGAGTATAACTCTTGCAAGTGAAAACAATATTGGTCATGCAGGACTCGAGCCATCACCTAAACCATCAAAATATGTCAACCATTCCAATTTCTCTTCAATGAGTAAATGATAATTTTAATGATGTCCATATTCTACCAAAACCTATTCGCAACAATTATCACCAAAAGAGAGACAACCTTCAATTCTATACACTATTATCCATCACCGTACTCTCCAAATGGTTCATCCCTATTATCATCCCCTATTCACCTTCATGCGCCAACGAGCCCCCCAAATCACCAAAACGACATTACAACAACAACATCCAAGCCTTAGTCCCAAAAGATATTGGGACATTAAGAATAATAAATACAACTATTGCCAGCAATACTGCATCCACTTCAATACATCAGGCAAAATGCATCCACTGCACACACTGCCATGATCAATCACCAAAAAACAGTGATCTAAAATGTACTAGGAGCTAGGCTACGGGACAGAGAAGGGCTTACAACTTAGACTCCTATGTGGGGGCTAATCAAGGCCTAGAATATATATACACAGACATATGTGTGTATGATAGGTTTCACACTTTCAATAGGTACACTATCTGACTACCTATCTGTGGATACTTGTTTTATTACCCATTCGTTCAAACATGAATGATTGTGATTTGTTCATGCTCTCCCGCCTAATGAATCACATTCTCTCACTAATGAACAGATCAGAACCATTCATTTTTTATCTAATTGATGATTAAAAGAGTACTTATGGATAGGTTATGAAATAGTTTACCTACAGAAACCTTCCTCATCCATACATAGTTACATTCATTCAAACAAACATACATATATACATACGTGTATATGTATATGTGTATATTCTCATAAATATGCTAAACATTGTACATATTTTTAACATGTATGAATGAATGAGAATCTAGAATACAATAGTAATTTACAATCAATTACTTAACTTAATTGTGTAATGCGAGTATCATACATATGGGGTTTTAGTAATAGGCTTATAGCTCAACCGGTAGACCACGTGGCTTTGACCATGGTAATGTTTTGTTCAAATCCCATAGGCAGCGAATGATGTTACTAAACATTCCATTCTTGATTCTACTATAAAATAAGTGGGACATTATTCGTTTTTCCTTAGAGGTGGCTACCAATTGGAAGCTGCTCCGTGTAGTGAATTATACTTCACTACCTCTGTTCCCAAAATGATGGTACCAGTTTACTACTCACTTCATTAGTCAATGCAGATCACTTTTGACCTCTACTTTTATGCATCAAAGTTTTGTAGGGAAAACTGTTTAATAGGCCCTGGTATACTCCATCGAACCCGTCAATTGACACCCTCTACGAAAAACACTGAATCAAGTACATCAACTATTAAGAAACACTGAATTCCCGTTTTTAGCAGGTAATCGTGGTTGTGGTTTACAGGTCACTTGAGCCTATGTGGCATTTTGTTTTAATTCTCATTTTTTCTTCACAATCCTCTTCGCTCTCCCATATTTTGTTTACTCCTCTTCCTCAGATTTACCGGTATATCAGTCTTCATCTTCTAAAAAAACTTCAGATCAGTGGCATATTTTCAGAAATATTAACTTGAATATTCGCCACGATGTCATTCTAGAGGTTCCAAACGGTGGATATACACCATAGCGGGTACACAGAAATCTGGCGCTGAATTGTTTGATATTAAAACTGAAATTGTAGAAACTGAAAGGAAACGATACAGATGAGGCAAGTTCGAGAGTGCCTCGTCTCTCCCAAGTCCTGGTCCTATTCCAAGTTCTGCCTACCTTCTTCTTACTCCATCCCTTCTATTTAAACCCTTACTTATGGGCCAGCCCAAAGTTAACTAGTACCTGGCCCAGGACCTGTAATATACCATCACAATTATTTAATATTATTATAATATTCTTATTATTATTTTCTTCAGCCTAGAATCCTATCATATCTCCCCCCTTGAACAACCACCTTGTCCTCAAGGTGGGTGATAGGAAACAGCGTTGACCCTCTGCTTCATCTTCATCCTTGCGCCTTTACCTTCCCAGTATCTCACTGATTTCTGAGCGGGGAGTTTCAGCACTTGATCTTTCCAATTGACATATGTTTCTGCAGCATAGGATCTATCTGGTGAAGTTTCATTTTCTTCATTAACCTTCAAGCCTTCAATAGCCACAAAATTTTCCTTGCTTTCTTGAGGCTCCTCCGAGGTTCTCTCTTGTGAAACTATCAGTGTGCTGGGTGCAAGTTTGATGTAGCTCAACTCAAGGTCTGCAAACAACCCCATGCAAACTTCTCCAATTACCATCCACTTTTCTGTATGGCAGTTTTGGTCACTGTCCAAGTGTGTTTCCAACACATAAACCCCATAACGGACCCCTTTCCCACAATTCATTGGCATAGGCCCCCTTATACCCTTGAGCCTCCAAACCAAGATGCCTTTACTTCTTAGAAACCGAGCTCTCCCTTCCACTGTGGTTCCCCATGAGTCACTGATACATGGGACACCAGGACCCCCATACACATGAATCATAGTTTTATATGGAAGAGGTCCGGACCTTGCTTCATATGGTTTATATAGAGTCCCATATAAGGTTGTATTCCCCTGTTGTGCTTTGACGGGAGTTGTCTCTGGCTTGTCCAGTTGGAACCCTTTGAGTATTGGAATACTCATTGAGATTGGTTGCTCATGCCAATGTATGCTGAAACTTTCATCAGGCAAGGCAAAAACTGAGATTTTAGGAGGTGAAACCAACAATTTAAAAATGTCAACAAGTTTATGCATCTGCTGATCAAGCACAACCACATGTTTTCCACTCCCCTGTGTCAACCTTAATAGTATTTCTGGAGTACAGTTTAACTCATGGAACAGTTTGGAATCATAAAGGTGAGACTCCCAGGAGCTATCAAAAGTGCCAGTGAAGTATAAAATCCCAGCATTTTCTTTTATGCCTATCACTTGCTCATTTAAATGACCTAGCAATTGTAAGATTGCACCATGAACAGGCCCCCGATCGCTAAAGCTTGGGGCATCACAAGAAACCTTTCCTAAAGTCCAGACAGCCTGCTCATGAACCTCATCAATTGGAGGGCTGCGTTCAATCGTCAACAGCATTCTTAATGGTGTCGTTGCTTGATAATCATATTGTTGGGGTTTAGAATAAAGTGTAGTGTCCAATTTAGAGATGTTCACATCTTCTTCACCATCTGAATTAGTAGTCCCGCTGGTATGCATTCTTGTCCAACTGTCTATTTTCTTCTTTGCTGGAAGATTGAAGTTCTTATCCTCTCCAGTTTTCCATTTGAGTCCCAACTCATTACAGATTCTCGGCAGCATGTGAATGATGGGATTATTGGTAACAGCAGGGTTTGTCTTATAAAACTTCAACAGCCAACAGAAATTTTGCACAACAGTGCAGCCATCCGATGTCAGATTCTTTAACAGCCCAGGCACCAAGTTTAGGAAGTTTCCTTCTCCTATTTCCTTTATAATAGAGCCAATAGCTCTTGCAGCAACAGAAGAAACCTCCAAAGTAGGATATTGAGGAACTTCAGGTGCAAATCTACCTTTAAACAGCCCTCTACTTGTGTCAGGATCTCCATATGTATTTACCGCAAATACACAGTAGTGCAACCACCCGCCTACAGAATATATACTTCCTTGATTTGCTCGCTCGTGTACCTCAACAGCCTTTATCCATCAAACCCATCCATGCCTCGTGATCTACGTATTTCTTCCAGTAAACCAAAAATGGATACTTATTCATAACATTCCTCTCTGCTACTTTCTCAGTTTCCTCTGCAGCTTCAGCAACTATCTCTTCAAGCAAAGCAGGCTTTGAAAGTAAGCTGGCATCAGCCTCAACATTTTCTGCCCTTTCCGATTTATCTGGTGGACGTCCTGTGGGTTGAATATCATCGTCGTTCATCTCCCTAAACGTGGGTATGTATGACTCCCCTTTTAATATGGAAGACAAGTGTGGATACATTAAAGGATTGAGCCCAGTTGGAGAGACAAAAACATCAGGCCCAGCAGTCATCACAGCAAGGTCTGAATTCCACTCCAGTGCTTGAATCCTCCTCTCTGTTGTATCTGTGACTTTTACCTGATCCATCAGTTGCCTATAATTGACAGTAACTTCATTTTTTCCAGGGTCACCCATAACACCCACGGACAGCAGGTCAGCAGCTTGGTCTCCCGAGAAGAATTACCAGCTTCTCTTGCCCTAGATTGGCGACTCTCGGAACATCCTTAGCACTGTAAGGAACCAACTGAACTCTCTCTTCTACATTTTCCATGGGGCTTGAAGAATTAATACCTTCTGAGGGAGGTTGCGTCTGAATAAAAGACTCCAGATGGAACGATTGAGGTTCAGCAGAGTGAGAAGTAATTGGTGGCATCAGAACCTGTGGGCCGGTGGAGATGGCCGCTGAAACCTGCGAACTCAGCGAATCGGATAGCGTCGAAGCCTGTGAACGGGACGAACTCTGCGAACTGTATGTAGCTGTTTGCGACACCATCTGAGATGGCCATGAATTCCTGCAACGTCGCACGGTTCTCGATCGTCCTCGCCGGCAACGTTTACGCAGCTTGGTGCGCATCTCATCTAACCAGATCCCCATCTCCTTCGTCAGGTCGCTTTCTACCTCTTCATTGCTCTTCGCGCGCTTCTGGCTGTTCAAGCCAATCACCAGGTTTGCGCACTTCCCCACATTTCCGCGCGAGGCCTCATGATCGGATCTTCTATGCGGTTCCTTCCCCTTTTGTGTAGCCACGCGCTTCTCAATTTTCACGTACAAACCAGAGGCTACCACTTTCGACCGTCGATGTTCCCTGGGTTTCTCCATTTGAAGGTCGACCCTCTTTGTTTGTTCGTTTCTCAGCATCGCATGCCTAGAACTAACTCTCCTCTTCCGCTATCGAGACTGTGACGGTCGATTAAGACTCCCGGAGCGAGTTCTCTGATACCAATGATAGGTACACAGAAATCTGGCGCTGAATTGTTTGATATTAAAACTGAAATTGTAGAAACTGAAAGGAAACGATACAGATGAGGCAAGTTCGAGAGTGCCTCGTCTCTCCCAAGTCCTGGTCCTATTCCAAGTTCTGCCAACCTTCTTCTTACTCCATCCCTTCTATTTAAACCCTTACTTTATGGGCCAGCCCAAAGTTAACTAGTACCTGGCCCAGGACCAGTAATATACCATCACAATTATTTAATATTATTATAATATTCTTATTATTATTTTCTTCAGCCTAGAATCCTATCAGATTTACCGGTATATCAGTCTTCATCTTCTAAAAAAACTTCAGATCGGTGGCATATTTTCAGAAATATTAACTTGAATATTCGCCACGATGTCATTCTGGAGATTCCAAACGGTGGATATACATCATAGCGGGTTCGATGAAGACAAAGAGCTCCAATAGAGGGTTACCAAAAATTCAGTCTCTAGACAATCTGTTGACTCATGTTTCCTGTAAGAAACTAAATGAATCTTTCAAATTTGGTTCGACATCTGTCTGTATTTATAGATTCCATTTCAATAACTTAGAGAAACAGAAAAATGTGTGTTATTTTCGTGTAATTGGTGCTCTTCCTTTACAGGGATCAAGGCGTTTTGCATTCACGGCGTTTTATTGTTATCACCTTAAAATGTATCTTAAATCTTTAGGTCAAATTAACATCAACCAACTGAGCACACATTTTTTTGAATGAGAATCTGTTCCGTATGTAACCAAATTTCCTTACTCTGTTACAAATTTAATGGGAACATCAACAACCTATCAGGTTGCTCTTCTTCGGCAATGGGACATAATTTTGTGATGGAGGGAGCATTATTAAGTCCGCCAAATTAACGCACTTGGCCTTCTAGATGTCACGCCTAAGAAGAAACTCAGGCAGCATGATTTCACTTGACACCTAACTGCCTCAAAGGAATTTGAGAATAAGAGAATAGAATAACTTGTGTACTGATTTGAGGCCCCCTATATATACAGAACAAAGTGCTACCATATGAAATCTTCCTAAGATTAAGCATTACTAATTACATATACTGAACTACCATATATGCATTTACACATTTACCGTTTATTTTATATGTACTTCATTACTTCACAAGGAAGAAGACAGCCCGATTCATAAAGCCTATGTGCATAGCGAGGGTCTGGGGAATGATCCCACCACAAGGGTGTGATGCCGTCGAATCTTACCTTGCATTTTGCAAGAGGATGCTTTAAGGACTCGAACCAGTGACATCAAGGTTACACAGAAACACTCAAACACCTCAATTGGTGCGCTTAATCGACATGCTAGAACTAAAGAACAAAAAGTGTTTCAAAAATTCCTTCTATGTACTCCCTCCGTCCCTCAAAACTTTGCCAAGTTTGACCGGCACGGGGATTAATAAAGTAAAAACTGTGTGGTTGAGAGTTGTGTAGAGGAGAGAGAATTAACTGGAACCACAAATTTCTTATTTTAAAGGGAAAGTGGCAAAGTTAATAGGACATCCAAAAAAGGAAAGTCGGCAAAGTTTTAAGGGACGGAGGGAGTATAACATTTTCAAAAAACCACAAGGTATATAAAAATTTGTTCAACAAATTGGCATCCCATTCAAAGGGCTACGCATAAGATAAAATAATAGTTACCAAACTACAAATTGATTACAAGGTCCTCCACCAAGAGAAAATTGGGTTACTCAACAAAGTAAAGAAACATCAACAAGTATGGTTTATCACAAAGACACAAACATGACCAAAATCTGATTGATTAAGATACCCAAGACAAAATACAATACAAAATCCTAAAACTACATAAACCATATTGCATGTATGCTAAATCATATACCTGGACTGTTTTGCCTAGGCCCATTTCATCAGCTAAAATCCCATTGAGATGGTTGTTATAAAGTGAAACTAACCATCGCAACCCATTCATTTGGTACCTAAACAAAAATCAACAATTGAATATTACAAAGTGCTTAAGATAATAATATGTTGAGAAAAGGTTGTTAACTCTTATATTGCATGTTACTCACTCTCTTAATTTTCCTCTCACAAGAGAAGCTGGCTGATCTGTGATGATCTCTTTAACACTGCAGAAAATATGCGCAATCAGAAGATACGTAATCTGAATACGTCCACACACAAAATTAACACTGGCAGAAAACTTTCCAACTTCTGTCCAAGATTACCAAGACGGTAGTAGACACCATAGTTTGTGTTATATCTCATGAGTAAAAAACTAAACTAAGGGAATGTTATAGATAACCAAATGAAATTCAATAGGAATATATGAAAGGTAAATGACAAGGTATTTACCTGTGTGCCATCATATAGTATTTCTCATTGCTTTCCAAATAATGCTGCAAAATAAATTAAATACAATATTTACATGAGTTAAGCCTTTTAAATAGAAGAGTAATGAGAAAAATTAGTTGCATGATATATATACACACATATATATTATAGAGTTTGGTCACAATGTCAAGTGTACTTCATTGACTTCCCATGTATATGTTTAGAGAAGGCGTGAGTGCACTTCTAGCAGTGGCAGAAAGTTCCATTTAATTACACTGTGCCTTGATAAGTTTTTTGGCACTTTTGGCTTTTTGAGCCCTTAGATCTTGAATCAAGTACACCAACCAAACTAATTATCTTTCTCCTAAGATTCACATGTCCTTTGAAATCGTGTGTGTCTGCATGTATATATGTATGTGTATGTGTGTGTGGGTGCGCAAGTGTGTGCGTACTCCCTCTGTCCCATAATTCTCTGCACGATTTGTCTTGTCACTTATAAGAAAATGAAATTGGGTGGTTGAGGTTAATTTATAAAGTGGAGAAATGATATCAACCGTGCAATCATTTCCTTAAAATGAAAAGGTAAGAATATGTGGGGCAACCCAAAAAAGGAAAAACGGAAGACAATTGTGGGATGGAACCATGGAGGGGAGGAGTGTTTGTGTTTAGAGAGAGAGAGAGGAGAGCACATTCAAACTGTATGAACATTACAAGTGAACAGGACTTGACAGCCAGAAAGTAACCTTAGCCTGGTCTGTTTCATCTGCTTCATCGAAAGCAATTTCATCCTCCTCCTCCACCCCGGTGTTCCGATTCTCACCCATTTCAGTGTCAAATCTCCTAGCAGTGCCCTTGGCCTCCTTCAGTTTTGATCCAAGCTTTTGTAGATATTTTTCAGTCTCCTTCAATAATTGTTTGACACGATCTGATTTTGCATCCTATGAGCACATTAGTAACATAAAAAATATTAATGATCACTAGATCATCATATGTCGATCTTGAAAGTTGAAACACATAATTGTATGTATTCAGTAATAACATACCTGGACCATTCGAAGGTACCCTTCAACATCATTGATTTTTAATAGATTTATCTTCTCACGTTGGATCCTATCAATCTTCTCACGGTGTATCCGTTCCTTTCTTTTGTGAAACTCTTTGACATATCTATTGAATCCCCTCCAGCGTTCTTTCTTCACTTTGAATACATCATCCAGTCTTTCCCTGGAATCAGGATGTTGGCGAGATTAGAAGGGCAACATTCTTCAAAAACTTGTAAAAGGGAAGCCACTCTCGGAAACATTCATTGCAAGAGTGAGGAATTGAATCATAGAAAAACTTGAAATCATAACCGAAGAAATAACATACCTGTGAGCTTCAACCTCACTGAAAAATTCCTTTTGCCTCTCACGTATTCGCTTTTGACGCTCTTCCTTCATTTTCTGCTCATACCTTTCAAGTTGTTTAGACCTTCTTCCTATTCTAGTTTTCTTAATTGACTTTATGCGCTCCATGTCAGCAGTTATTGGTTTGAAAAAGTCATTCAAAATTTCACTGTCAATGTTTGAAAAAGTGTCAAAACAAATACACGGACAAATCAGAAAAATCAACTTACAACTAAGAAAATATGTTGCGTACATCATAGGCCAATATTAGCAGTGGTACAGCTCAGGTGAGGTCTAGGGGGCTAAAAGACTTGAGAACTATTCAGTTGGACTGAAATTTACTGCACTGTTATGGACTTCTTATGCCCGGTGTGATATCATGATATTTTATTATTCTCCAAGTCCAGGGTGAGTTTAAATCTAGTTTGATCTTTTTAAGCCTGGAATAGGGCAGAATTAAGTCCGATTGAACAGATCCTTAAGTGAAAATGTAAAATCTCATAATTTAGAACATTTGACGTTTCCAGAAGGCGTATGCAAATCATCGATTAGCCCCAACTCGTCCATCTGCAACTTCATTAGCCCAATTGCATACTCACAATTCCAATCGCAACTTGCATTTACTTATAACAGATTGAAAGGATGTCCATTGATTCTATTCAGGGATGAACTTATGAGTCAATTTATTTTGACAAGCTTTGATATGTCACACTCCCATTTGTTATTGACAATTTTTTTCCTTTTATTTGTGCATTTATGAATATTCTTTGTGCTTTAGTACAGGGGTAAGGCTGCGTACATCCGAGCCCCCCTTAACCCACCATAGGTGGGAGCCTTTGCAGCACTAGGGTAATGATGATGATGAATGGATACTATTGAATTTACACATTTTCCAAAAAGTGACATAAATGGGAGGTTAGTTTTTAATGAGGCCGGTAAAGTATTAAAAGCTTTGATTAATTTATCACCCCTGTAATTTTTTTTACTAAACTGTGTGATTTGGTTAACATAGGCAGATAAATAGGAACAGAGGGATTATCATTTAAAAATAACTTTGGGAGATCAATTACCCCCGCAGGCGGCGTTGTAACTCAAGCAATTGAAGTTTTTTTAATTCAATCACACTTTTTGTTTTCATGGAGATGTCTGACGAGCTCACACTTTCCTGCAACAAGTGAGAAAATGAGCTGATTATCCCATGTTAAAGAGAATATGAGCCAATATATAGAGAAAAATGCACCTTTGCCATAGCAATTACACTACCATGTGTTATAGTACAAATCATAATCACATCTATTGGCATTGTGACAGCATTGGAACTTTTTTTGAGAAAATCAACTATAGATGTATTCAACTTTTAAAATATATGCATTGTAAAATTCAGAGCTAGTTCACCAAGAAATCAAGAGAGGTCTTTAACACTACATTGTAGTTACTCAGATAATTTCAAAAGCAATACAAAAGTAACAACTAAAGGTACTAATGGTTGTAAACCATCAAAAGAAAAAATAAGTCTGGAGTCTCCGTCGTCCCAATGATTTTGACATCAACAAGTTTGTTTGACTCCTTAGAAGAAACATTGGTTATATACTATATACATATACATACATACATATACATATATATATATATATATATCACTATTAACTAAAGAAATCAAGAATGGTCTTAAACACTATACTGTAGTAACTCAGATATTTTAAAACCAATATAAAAGTAGCAAATAAAGGTACAAAGGATTATAAATCACATCAATAGAAAAAGTATTCTGAAGTCTCCACCATCCCAATGATTTCAACATTGAACAAGTTGCCAAGAATTGACAATACACCGTCATCATAAAACAGTCATATTTATATAAAAAGTTGAAATACACAGCTACCATCATCAACAACAACTACATCCAAGCCTTAATCCCAAACGAATTTGGGGTCGGCTAACATGAATCGATCTATGATATCGATGCCAATCAGAGAAGACGTACAAGAAAGGGAAGAAAAAAAGTAAGATAAAATGAATAAAATAAAGATAAATAAATATAAGATAACAATAATACAAGAATATAAGAAAGATAAAAGATAAAAAATAAAAGAGCATAAAAAGCTAGAAGATAAAAATAACATAAGAATATAAAAAGATAAAGAACATAAACGATAAAAGAAAAAAGAGAGGAAAGGTAGAAAAGACATCAATCGTCCACACAGATGTGCGCCCTCCACTTTGCTTTCTCCAAAGCCATACTCTCATCCAATCCAAGAAGACGCATATCAGTTCTGATTCCTCTAATCCAAGTCTGTTTGGGTCTTCCCCCTCCCTCTCTTCTCTTCCTCTTCTCCCCACCCCTCAAGTCGTCTAACAGGTGCACCACTCGGTCTTCTACGCAAATGCCCAAACCACCGCAAACGGGACTCCTGCATCTCATCTTCTATAGGTGCTACTCCCACATTTTGTTTGATTATCGTATTTTTCAAGCGGTCTTTTCTGGTATGTCCACACATCCAACGCAACATACGCATCTCTGCCACACTCATCTTTTGGATGTGGCATTGCTTCACCGCCCAACACTCTACGCCATACATTAATGCAGGCTTGATTGCTGTTAGATAAAATTTTCCTTTCAGTTTAGTCGGCATACCTCGATCGCATAGAAATCTTGAGGCACTCTTCCATTTCATCCACCCAGCTTTGATTTTATGGCATACATCTCCATCTAATTCACCATCCTTCTGAATTATGGAGCCCAAGTAACGGAGCATATCACACACCGGTATCTCCTTACCATCAAGAGTAATCTCACTGTTGCTACTACTTCTACCTCCACCAAACTTGCACTCCATGTACTCAGTCTTGCTTCGGCTCAGTCTAAAACCCTTGGTCTCCGATGTTTGTGGTCATTCTTCCAACTTTGTTTTAAAACCGGATTGTGTCTCATCAATCAATACAATATCGTCGGTAAACATCATGCACCACGGTATATCTTCTTGAATTGACTTTGTAAGTTCATCCATGACTATAGCAAATAAGAAAGGACTCAGAGCAGATCCTTGATGCACTCCGATAGTAATAGGGAACTCTGCAGTCCTCCCTACACTAGTGCGAACACTTTTTTTACAAGGCATCATACATATCCATGATGATACTGATATACTTACGTGATATGCCTTTTCTAGTTAAGGCCCACCAAAGGACTTCTCGAGGTACCCTATAGTTGAAGAATAGAGTTTTATTATTATTGCAAATACAGAAGCTAAATACAATTTATAGGCCGGGCTAACTTAATAAAGGAAAGAGTAATTATGTACAAGATCTTCTAATTAATACAAATCTCCTACTTGATTTTAGGAAATCAGATTATGATCAGAACAAATCTCATTATAATCAACTAAATATTCTAATATCTCTACACTCCCCGTCGAGATGGTTAATGGCTGTCTATCATTCCCATCTTGCAAGCAAGTTCTCGAAACCGCTCCATTGGAAGCCCTTTGGTGAGCACATCAGTGAACTGAAGCCCCGAAGGAACATACTGCGTAGAAATAAGACCATTATCCAGTTTTTCCTTGATGAAGTGTCGGTCTAATTCTATGTGTTTTGTTCTATCGTGTTGGACTGGATTATGAGCTATACTAATAGTAGATTTATTATCACATAAGAGTCTCATAGGAGCTTTAAACGGTATTTTCAAATCTCCTAATATGATCTTCATCCATAATAATTCACAAACCCCTTGAGCCAAGGCCTTGAATTCTGCTTCTGCACTCGATCGTGCCACAACATTCTGCTTCTTGCTCCTCCAACAACATCCAAGCCTTAGTCCCAAAAGATATTGGGGTCGGCTAACATGAAAAGAAAGAAAATAAAGATAAAAAAGATAAGCTATGATAAAAAGATAATATAAAAAGAGATGAATATACATAAAAATGGTAAAATAAAAAGGATACAAATAATGCTTATATATATGTAAGGATAAAAACAAGGAGTAAATCTCCATAGACAGATGTTCCTCCTTTTTGAATAGCAGTCCTCTCCCAGGAGTAGACCTCCGGTCAACAATTGACCCTGCATAGTCTGCATCTGTATAAATCTCCATAGACAGATGTTCCTCCTTTTTGAATAGTAATCCTCTCCCAGGAGTTGCCTTCAAATATTGCAAGATTCTATTCACTGACTGCAAGTGTCTTTCACGTGGATGATGCATGAACTGACTAACCACACTAACAAGATATGATATGTCAAGCCTTGTGTGAGATAGGTATATGAGTTTTCCCACGAGTCTCTGATATTGAGTCTTCTCTACTTTTGGGCTCTCCTCATCACTCCCAATCCTGTGATTTTGCTCTATGGGTACTCCAGTGATTTTGCAGCCTAACATACTAGTTTCTTTGAGAAGATCAAGGACATATTTTCTTTGGGAAATGAAAATGCCTTGTTTTGAGTACGCCACTTCCATGCCTAGGAAATTTGAGCTTTCCAAGGTCTTTCGTTTCAAACTGAGCTGCCAACTCCTTTCTTAGAATTTGTTTTTCATATTCATCATTCCCTGAAATGATCATATCGTCTACATAGACTAACAAAAGAGTCGGTTTGCCATTTCTAGTGTGTTTTATAAAGAGGGTATGATCACCTTGGCTTTGTTTATACCCCAGTGATAAGTGATACCATGGCCAGAGTAAACCTTCCAAACCATGCCCAGGGTGATTGCTTGAGCTCGTATAGGGCCTTCTTCAATTTGCAAACCATATTTCTCGCTAAAGTAGGGGCATACCCTGGCGGAATCTCCATATATACCTCTTCTTCTAAATCTCCATGCAAGAAAGCGTTTTTTACATCGAACTGCTGTAACTCCCAATCAAAGTGGGCTGCTAAGGATAAAATAATCCTTACTGTATTCATTTTTGCTATAGGAGCAAATGTATCTTCATAATCAATCCCGTAGTTCTGGGTGAAACCCTTTGCTACTAACCTTGCCTTATACCTGTCAAGTGTACCATCAGATCGGTACTTAATTGTGTATATCCACCTACAGCCTACTGTTTTTTTGTTATTTGGTTTTTCAACCATCTCCCAAATTTTATTCTTTTTCTAGTGCATGCATCTCTTCATTCATGGCTTGAATCCAATTCTTATTTTTTAAAGCTTCTTGTACTGATGCAAGGACTCTAATAGAGTCAATAGCTGAAAGAAAACTCTGGTGTTGGGCAGAAAGATTCTTAGTACACACAAACTGAGATATAGGGTACTTGGTGCAAGATCGTTTTTTCTTTCTCAACGCAATGGGCTGGTCATCAGGGTTTGGCTCACAATATTTGTTAGGCTCGGAGTTAGGAACATTTAAACACGAATTATTAGGCTCGAGGTTGTGAGTACTTACCTCAGGGTCAGACGATTGGACTTGCTGATGGATTAGGACAGGTTTAGCTTTTCGTTGGTACTTTATACGGTACCTCATTATTGTGCACTGGTATTTGTTCAGAACCATTATCAGTAGCATCAGTGTTCTTAGGGGCAGGAATAGGAAGTGAATTCAAAGGTACATGTATTAAAGGAAGAATAGGAAACTCAGGGGACTCAACTTCCTGTCTACTCTCCCCCTCTACTCTCCCCCTGAACCTGAGAATTAGGATAAAAAGATTCGGTTTCCAGAAAAGTGACATCCATGGATATATAAACACGGCGACTAGAAGTATGATAACACTTATACCCTTTTTTATTTGGTGCATATCCTATAAAGATACATTTAAGAGCCCTGGGGTCTAACTTACTTCAATGAGGACCATGAACATGAACAAATGAAAAACAACCAAAAACACGACTCTGGAGACTTGACATAGTGGGCACTGATGGAAAGAAATTATTTATAAAATGTATAGGGCTAACACCAAATAAAACCCTAGATGGTAACCTATTGATTAAATAAGTAGCGGTCAACACAACTTCTCCCCAATAAAACTTGGGAACATTCATTTGAAAGAGTAATGCTCTAACAATTTCAAGAAGGTGACGGTTTTTCCGTTCAGCAACCCCATTTTGTTGTGGGGTGTCAACACAAGTCAATTCATGAACAACACCATTTTGTTTCAGAAAATCAGAAAAGTTGCGATTTACATATACTTTCCCATTGTCTGACCGTAACCGTTTGATAGGCTTTCCAAATTGGGTTTGAACCATGTGGAAAAAATTTACAAATAGTTGAAACACTTCTGATTTATCTTTCATAAGAAAAACCCATGTAATCCTAGAACAGTCATCAATAAAAGTGACAAACCATTTTGCACCAGAAATATTTGAAATGACCGAAGGTCCCCAAACATCATAATGAACCAAATCAAAAGGTTGGGCACTTTTATTATTACTAGGAAAAAACGTGGAACGGTGATGTTTGGAAATTTGACATACATCACGGTGAAAAGACGCAACTGACAATTTTGTAAATAAATGGGAAAATATGGCCCGAACAACTCTAAAGAGAGGATGCCCAAGACGTTTGTGATGCAACCATATTTGAGAGGAATTCCAAGATTCTGAACTCGCTTGATGACAAATACTTTCCTTCTACGGCAGAGAGTATAACCCGTCCCGTTCCATAGCAATTCCAATCGTCTTCCCCGTGGCAAGATCCTAAAAAACACAATGGGAATGAAAGAAAGTTACTGCGCAGTTTAAATCTTTGGTAAGTTTGTGGATAGACAAAAGATTATTAGAGAGCCTGGGAACATGAAGCACATGTTAAAGGTGAAGAGATGAATTCAGGTTGATGTTACCACATCCAGTAATGGGAGTTTGGGATCCATTAGCAACAGTGATATGGTATGGTGTTTGTTTGGTAAAGTGGAATATGAAGATAAATGTGAGATGTGAGGTGTCATGTGATCTGTAGCACACCAGAGTCAATAATCCAACTATGATCAGTACTCAAAGCATCAAAAGATAAGAAGGTAGAATTCTTACCAGACATTGTTAAGGAGTCCATAAGTGCTCTTAGGCGCTCAAGTTCTGCTTTGCTAAGGCCGGGGATATCTTCTGTGGGTGAACTAGGTGGATTGCCTTCAATTTCCAGATTAGAAACAGTGTGATTTGCACGTCTCTGAACAAAATTTTGGACCCGCTTATACGTCCAAGGACTTTATCCCTTCCATGCAGTTTGAAACACGTGTCCTTTGTATGACCAGATTTTTTACAGTAACTGCACCATCGATCTTCACTATTGGACTTCAAAACGGGGCCTCTCAAAATGGATCCTTGTATGGAACCCTTTCCGGTGGCTAAAGTTGAACCATCAACTGATTTCTCTTCCATCATCACCGACCTCCTACTTTCTTCACCACGAACACTGTGAAAGACTTTTGAAAGAGATGGCAGTTTCTTATTACCCAAAATTTGAACCCGAATGGGATCAAATTCAGAGTTGAGCCCAAGAGAAACTTAAACATCCGTGTTCTTTCAATAAATTGGGTTAGTGCAGTGGAGTCTTCATCACACTTCACTATCAAACTTTGATACTGATCTAATTTGATCCAGAGACCATTTAGAGTGCCATAATAGTCAGTTACAGAGAGAGTTCCCTGCTTGGTATTAAAGATTTTATTTTCCAATTCAAAACATGCTGAGAGATCTTGTTTCATGGAATATGTTTCTGCCAGATTCTTCCAAATCTCCCCAACAGTTGCGAAAAACATATAATTCCTACTAACCTCCGGAGTCATAGAGTGCCAAAACCAAGTCATAATGAGAGAATCCTCATCAACCCATTTTTCATAGTGTGGATTTGTCTCAGCAGGGGCTTTGCCTTCGATGTGACTAATCCTTTTGCGTCCTCTAAGAGTGGTACGAACAAGTTGGACCCATTGAAGGTAGTTGCGCCCATCTAACCGGTATGACCCTTGTAATATCGGGAGGTCATTGTGGGTCAACGGTGGAAGAGAAAGAGTTTTGTCTGCGAGATCAGGCATAGTAAAGTGGCAGTTTCAAAGAAGGAAAAAAACACCTCTGGAACAGAACCTAGAGGAGCAGCCTTCCGGCAGTAATTTTGTAATGAGAAAGAAAGGGTTTTTGTGTTTGCGTGCAGAAGCAGAGCCCCTAGAATCGGGAAGCTCTGATACCAAGTTGAAGAATAGAGTTTTATTATTATTGCAAATACAGAAGCTAAATACAATTTATAGGCCTAGGCTAACTTAATAAAGGAAAGAGTAAATTATGTACAAGATCTTCTAATTAATACAAATCTCCTACTTGATTCTAGGAAATCAGATTGTGATCAGAACAAATCTCATTATAATCAACTAAATATTCTAATCTCTGCACCTATCATATGCCTTTTCTAAGTCAATGAACACCAAATGCAGATCCATTTTAGTGTCTCTATACTTCTCCACAACTTATCTAAGAAGGTGAATGGCCTCAGTTGTTGAGCGTCCAGGCATAAAACCAAATTGATTCTCTGAAATTTTCATACTTTTACGATGTCTTTGTTCAACCACTCGCTGCCAAAGTTTCATGGTGAATTCTAAAATACTCGCTCCTACAACTACCATCACATAAAACAAAATAAATGGGAAACTAGATGGCTGAATTCTAAAATACTAATACTATGAAAGAGTTAACTAAATCAGAATAGAAGGTTGTAAGGTCTGAATGGAGAACATGAGCTAATGATGATTTCGGCTTCATGTTGCAGAATATACTTTTAAACAAATCCCCTTGGCTCTGCTTTTATAGCAAGATCTGTACAGTACTACAGTCTAATTACATCTCCGTTTTGTAGAAATACACAGCTCATAGAAATGCTATTATGAAGCCGGGTACTTTATGTTGAGTACATAAAAAGTTCTGCAAGTCCAGTAAGCATCTCTGACACTCCATTCCTCACCTTATTGAAGAACTGAAACATTCAGCATTCAAAATAGCAATTCTCTTGTGAGGTTAAAAACTAATAGTTAACTTTGTTCTAGAGCGCAGATCTTTTTGCTAAGGTATATTAGCGGAACCAAGTAGAGCCAGCTAAAATAGTTTCGGTTAGTTTGCAGTTGCATGGTAGACCATCACTTGTAGCACCCATTAACATAAAACACCATGAAAGGGGAGAAGCAAAGCAGAGGCTGAAGGGTGATAGATATACAAGTGCTTGTTAGTTAAACGCTGTTACTGATAGCAGTAATTCATTATTCATAACATATGGTCGGGCACAAATTGGTAGAATTTGCAACTATTTTAATTTTCCGAGGACATGCAAAAAATGATAGTAGATCTCATCGGCACACCATCAATCATTTACAAAAAATATCTTTGAATTATTTCTGGATCAATCGAACCTCTTCCATACAAAATAAAAGTACTCTAGAAATTATCAGGAATCTTTGTTTTACTGTTGGTGGGTTTGACAAAACCTAAATAAAACTAAAACTTCAGAGATTTCTATCTCTAAAAATTATGCAACTAAATTATAAACACAATAACACTTTAGAAAAACTTCTCTAATCCAGATTCTAGACAGCATTTACAGATGTATATATATTATTTTTCCCAGTTGCTAGTGGAACGAACTGTGCGCATCGTAACAACTTAATCTGATGTTAAAAAGGCGTCTTTCAGAACTTTCAGCAGAAGAAAGGTTGTCAAAGAAGTCCAAATTTTATACAATATTCACCAAAGTACACCAACAATACTTCAGCATGTATAAAGATAAAATGGGTAATTTGAGTATGCACCCCATTTTTCTGTCTAAATTGAACTTTTCACCCCGTTTTAAAAAAAACTTTGTATTTGCGCCCCAACCCCTATGAAAAGACAAAAATGCCCCTCCATTAACAATTATGTTGGGCTTCAACATATTTCGGGTCGAGGGGCATTTTTGTCTTCACATATGGGGTTGGGGTGCAAATACAAAGTTTTTTAAAAACGGGGTGCAAAGTCCAATTTGGACAATAAATGGGGTGCAAACTCAAATTATCCCAAGATAAAACAACAGACCTTCAACTTTTCAGAACAAGCAGAAATTCTTTCTTCTGTCTTCTTATGCTTCTCTGCCCATTTTTTCTCACAAACGAGTCTCCTTTTTTTCCAATCCAGGATCCACTTCTCTAATGTTGTATACCTTGGAGAAGGGGATCTGTCTGCGGGTAACATATCTTCATCCTCCTCGTCCATTTCATGTGCTGTAGATTCATTTTGAATTTTTAGTAGTTGATGGAAGCAGATAATTTGGTATACTCATTGTATGATTAGATTAAGACTGTTCTCGCATGAGCTTAGACTAAAAAAAGGGGGAACTATGCAATGCAAATTTACACTGCACAGTGAGTGAACATTTTACCTTCAACACCGACTGAAGACTCACTTTTATTATTTCCCTTAATGATTTCCCTTTTACTAAAAGTTATTTTAAGAAGTCCTTATTACCAAGTACAAGTTTAATATGTGTAACTATAAAAAGTATATTTGAAGCTCTATATCCAACCATTACACAGTCCCAGAGAAGAACAGTTGTTGTCTGGCTCTGGGTCATATGATGTCTCCTTGTTACCAAACAGGTCGAAATGTGATATGTACCAGTTCACTGCAAGTTACTTCAGAATACATTGGCAGGCAAGAAGGTGTGTGGTGGACACAACAACTATTAAGCATTCACAGTTCCCTCAGCAACCATGTCAATCGAAACAACTCAAAAAATTGAACGACAGAGCATACTAATGTAGGAACACAATACTAAGACTTGGTACAGTGAGATGTATGGTTCTCACCTGGCACTACATTCTTCACAGTGGTATTAGGGTACAGACTATCAACTATTGAAACAGATTTCCACTGTTGTTTTGCAGACAAATTAGGCAAAGAATTGTCAGCTTGACGAGTTCCATGGGCACTGTAATCGATAGACATGTGAGATTGATTTGAGGCATCATTAATTAGTGATCCTGACTCTTGAGGAACAAGGGCATTTGCTGGTGCACTAGAAATCTCAGTTTGGCATGTTGGTCCTGTCCAACTATTCAATTCAGGCTTTATTAGCTTACTTGCATTCTGAACACACAACACTTGGTTAGACATCCCGAGTTGGTGAACACTTGCAGAAGAATCTTCATGAACAGCTGCACCAAAAGAATTTGATTCAGACGCCAATGATCTAGATGCCTGTGATCCAGTTCCTTCCTGCATTGTTGCTTCGCCCTCTGGAAGATTTCTCATCTTTTTCAGATACCTCCTATCTTCTCCATGTTCAGATGAAACAGAAAGCTGGCGACCTCTATCATCTATCACATGTTGATTCTCAACTTCTTTTGACAAGTTTGCATCACTAGAAATTATCAATGATGATGGGCCTGAAGCTGGTCTCTCAACCTCTCTGCCAGTCAAAAAAGGCCTAGATGCTTCTGGAGCATTGCTGTGTTCCCTGACAGCGTATTCCCTCCCCTTTTGGTCAATCAGGTCCCTTTGAGTCCCATCTGCAGAAAAGTTTATCAATCAATCAACTGAACGAACTTCTAGATGAAAAGTGAACGGTCAACCTAATACATACCTTCTTTAGAAATGGCATTTCCTAGTGCAAATTCAAGATGAACTTTCTTTGGCATCATACCATTTCTGCAATTAGGAAAGAAAGCTATAATTAAAAGGCTGTGACACATAATTTCTGGGTAAAAATAATTTAAATACCCCAAATTTTGAAGGGATGTGAGATAAGCACCCAAACTTGCACATGTAATATATATACCCCAAATTTTATATGAAAAGTTACATTAGCACCATGATCATATGTTTTTTCACAAATGTAATTTCATGATGTTAAGTACAAAATACTAAAATAAAAACATTTCACAAATGAAATTTTAGGATGTTAATTGCATCCTAACAAAGCTTGAGTATTTTGAATTATGTAATTATTCCAATAAATTTATTTGTAAAAAAACACAATCATGGTGCAAAAATAGCTTTTTAGATAAAGTTCGGGGTATATATATTACATATGCAAGTTTGGGGTACTTATCTCACACCCCATCAAAGTTTGGGGTATTTATATTATTTTTCCCTAATTTCTGAACTAAAATTCAGGAAAACATAAGTTGAGGACTACTAAAAAAATACCTAAAAGCCAAAAAGACAAGACACTGTGCCCTAAGCTGTTTTAAATGATGCTCCTTAAACGGATTTGCAGAAGCAGGAGTCTGAGAAACCGGCAACTTTCCTGTGTCTTTGATAGATGCACTTCTGAGCATACTGGTTTCAAAAGCATTGCTCTGCATTCCTCCCTTTTAACAGAAAATATAAACAAATAAGGAAACATATGAAGAGGATTTAGTCGAGCATGGAAGTTTTCACTTCAACATATGAGAATTTTCTTCCTTGTAAATATTTTATATAATGTTGCAAATTTTGCAACAGGATGACATTTTCAAGTGGCGAAGTTAATATAGCTCAGATAGAATGCACAATAGAACAAAAAGACCGTAAACACATATTGTTATGAAAAGGGCTACGAAGTACCTGATTTGTGTTGTTCACATTTGCCAATATGCTAGCTCCCACTTCATGCTCTAATGGCCTTGCGGGTGTGCGTTTACCAGCAGAAGGAGAAGCAGGAAAAGATTCAGAGCTCCTGTCCTGATGCATCTTTGCCATCAAATCATGATTATTATATGGACTCCCGAATTGCATTGGGCTTGAAATTCCTGATTCTAGAGGCTGAGATGCATTAGATGCAGTTGGCACCGCTCCATGAATATTCGCAGCTACGAAATAAAGAATGTTCAAAAATAGATATCAACCAGCATACATACAGTAAATTGACATGTCTTTTTCACAGCGAACTGCAACACTCAGAATCAACAGAAATGAATGCTATCACTGTTTTAGAGTTTAATACTCCATCTCAAAAAAAAATGTCTAACGATTACTTCACAAGAGTCAACATGATCTTATTATGATCAGCATTTTAATATAAGTAATGATTCTCGAGACAGTAACATTTTTATCTAGCTTCTCAATATCATATTTTTAATTCAAAAAAATAACACAAATTTAAGAAAATCTGAGTAAGTAGTTTGACCAAGAAAATGGCAAACATGGCAATGAAGGACACAGCTGCACAAACCATTCATTGTTTGTAATTTCAAAGTGTATATAAGTTATACAATAGTGAAAAGCATATTAGGGTTTGACTTACAATAATAGCTGTCCCTTTCGACCCAAAACCCACACAAACCCACATACACAAAAGTGAACTGGTATATAAATCAAGGTACAAGCTTGATTTATAAAACAATATTAATCAGGAATGCTATTTATAATGCAATGTTCAAAATTGTGTATTGCGTAAATGAGGCAGTTTTGAGATGTTGTGTATTGTGTAAGCCTCATGGCGCATTGAAGTGTAACGACGATGTGTAGATCATAATTTATAGTAAATGAGGTAGAAAATATACTACTAATATTTAGCAATATAAAAATTTCAATATATAATTAAGTTTACCAAAATATGCAAATTAAAATATATTAAATGATATGAACATCATAAATGCAAATTATAGATAGCAATGTTTAATTTGATGTATCAAATTGAATTAGATGTATTGTTATATATCTAATTTTCTATGAAAAATAACATTCCAGATACCAAAATTGTAATATTACAATAAAAATTAAATACGGTTTTATAGAACTAAATATGCATAAAATGTAACATGTTTAAAAATTTATACAGGCATGGTTGACATGGCGCATTAATCAAAGGGGATGCATTATTTGGCAGACAAATAGAGAAAAGCCTTAAAGATTTCTAAATGTTTAGAAAAATAACAAATACAGATACATAGTACTTGGTCGTTTAATATATTAATGATAACTTAGACTCTTGAGATACGAGGATATCGGCGGTGGCAGTGAAAAAAATGAGAGATATGAGGATATTGGCAGACTGTCAATCGCTTAGAAGCGATAAGGTGTAAAATAAATAAATCTCAGCTTACCTGCACTACCGGAGACGACAAGAAGAAAGATAGGGAGACGAGAGACGAGAGGCAGACTGGAGTTGTAACAAAGTATGACATGAGTTTTATCAATTATTGAAATAATTATTACTTTTTCTCCACATATTTCAATTGCGTACGATTTGGTTGCGCCCTATTGGGCACTCCTGATTGCGTACGCCTTTAATCACAAAAACCCTGGATATCTGTGAGGCGCGCCTTGAGGCAGGATACTATTGCGCAATTTCAAACAATGTTGTAATGAGCTAAAGAATATTTCTAAACTGGTTAAAAATATACTGAAGCTCATCTTTTTTACTTTAAATTAATCATGGTGCAGGTGCTAGTGAATTCTTATGAACCTATGCCTGAATTGGCAGCAGGAAGTGAAGAATCGAAAATAGTGCCCACATAACCGATCCCAACTAGACTGGATTATGTTCAGATTTAAAATATGGACAATTCCTTAGCTTTTAGAGCACCACTTGATATAAATGTGTAATCAGATTTTATTTATCACAAATAAATAACAACAAAGAGAGTAATAATATCCTATAGTAAAGTATGAACCATAAAATGTGTTTCGCCTTGAATCGAGTGTACACATACCTTAAAGACATTTAAGGGAGAAGTTATTTGCCATATTAATTAAAAAATTATAATTCAGCCATCACAATGAGTGTAAAGAATATACTCCCTCCGTTCTCTTTTAGCTGCAACGGTCAACATTTCACATTTGCTAATGCACGTCTTTGACCGTAATTATATCTTAATTCTATTAGTAAAAAAAATATTAAAAATCAGATTTTGAAAATTTATAATGAGATGAATTGAATAATATTTTTTTTAAAAAAAAAATTCACAAAATAATAGCGTAAAATGTAGTCAAAGTAGAGCATGTGAATAGTGTAAAATTCAACATGTTGCGATTAAAACGGAACGGAGGATAGTATATATTATATATATACATATATATATACATTATAAAGTTTGCTACACTTTCCCTTTTTGATAAGTTTTTCCTTTAAAAATATTGAATTACTCTTACTTTTTCTACTTTTTATCTTCTCTTTCATACTTTTCTACTCTCTCTCCTACTTCTATACTATTCATTACCCCTACTTTTTCCTCCTTAAATAAGTGCCAAAGCCTAATGTAGCATTGTAGCAATCTTTAAAATACGGAGGGAGAAAATAAATAAGCACGCGCATATGCACAATATTTTAGCAACCAGGGATCCTCACTGCAATAGTGCAATCAAAGGCAGTTTTACAGCGAAAGTACATGTATGCACTTATGCAAGTGGGAGTTATCAGATCCTAAATCCCCATTCAGTCGGGGTCGGCATCATACTGTCATGTGTCACAATTAACTAATTACCTAAAATCAATTAAAACATTATATTCATGCACATAGCATATCACGCCGGATGTCCTAACCTTCTAAAAAGGGAGTAAGTGCAAAACATAAATAAAAAAAGAACTTATACTCAAAAGAATGCTCTCAGTTAATTGAATTATGGACCCAAACTAAACGCTTTAGGAAAATAATACATTTTTCAATAAGTTTAGTTTGAATAGGCTTTTCCTGCTTATCTACTACAATACACTGATTGAATTATTTTACTGCAGTTGGATTAACTAACAAAATGAGCTTATGATTTAAAAAGGTTGATCCACTTATTCTAGATGAGTGAACTTCTGATTTCTGAAGTCAATTGAAATGAAGGTCGTGTATTGTTAGGTCTTGCACTCCTACTGAAAACAAAATATCACGTTGTTTGTCTAACTGTGGGTATAGGTGTTACCTCAACCACTCATACCCAGCCACCTACTATATCCCTCTATTAGAAAAGGAAAAAGAAATGCACCATTGCACCAAAGATTAATATCACAACACAAAGTATATCCTCCTGATTTCCCACTCGGGAAACAAATCTACATGCTATCCAAATCCAAAAACAACCTTCATGTCAGAATTAAAAACCCATAGTAATCCATCTAGCTTCTCAGTCTGTCAATACAACAACTGATTGGCAGTTCATACTTATCTGCAATAACCACATAAAGTACTACAGTACTACGAATACTTTGCCCTAGTATATCAGCAAGTCAGCCAAGGTAGTCAAAGTCGTGAGGTGCACTCAGCGCTAGAGTACTCAAATCGCCTAAGACGCAAGGTGCAAAAAAGCTATTGCCTGACTCATGTCAGGCGCACCATCTGTATGCTCTAAAATATATACCATAGTTATAATTTTAAAATATAAATCAAGTTGGAAAAAGAAACAAACAAAACTAAAAGAAGAAACTTGTTAGTTGTTGGGAGATAAAGTACAAAACAGAAGAAGAAAATAACGGATAAAGGAAAGAAAAAAGATAAAGGTATCGACTTTTAAATGATGAGATGAAAATAAATATGCACTTATATTGCGCCTCACTCAGACAGCCTTGTATGAAAGAGTATAAGGCGCTGCATCTCTATAACGCCTTGCCTGGTGTGCTTAAGCGCCCAGGCGTGCGCTTTTGACTACACTGAAGTCAGCAAAAAAACATCAGGTAAATAGGTAATAACTATTTACCATTTATATTTGATGATGATCCTTGATAAATACCATGCACATTACTAATTTGACCGCTAGGTGGCCTGCTTGAAACAAATGCATCCAGTTTACCTATCTCGGTCCCCGACAAAGCTGCTTTGGAGTCCCTGGTTATCTCAGCCCTTTGTGAAGAACCAGAGCCTGCAATTTTCACTTGTAAGAAAAAAATCTTTTGCACTACACTAAATGTGAACTTCTGATTGTTTCTTGTCCATATACTAATATATAATGGTGCCAACTCATTAAATTTAAGCATCTATAGTTTACCAGCGACTTGTGATGACAAGGAGTCTCCTACTTCATTTCCATCATTTGTAGGAAGCCGTGATGTCATTAAAGCTTCAATATCAAGATTGTTTTGTTTGACAACTGTCTCCATGGCCCTTTTTATACACAATTTTAAAAAGTGAATGTCATAAAAAAAATTAAAACTCCATGAAGAAAGTAAGAGTATTATAAAAAGTGGAATAACCTTATTAGTTGTTTGAAATAATGCTTACAAAACACAATGACCATCTTTTTACAGGGCATGATCTAATTGACATCAACTAGATCTCTATAGTAACTATGACTCTGAGCTATGCTTTAAAAGACATTATGCTAAAGTAAAAAAGCATGTTGCCAGTTCAAAAAGAAAACAAAATATAACCTTGACCACAGCAAACTATGCCCACGCTTGAATGAGATAAGTGTTGATAAAACGAAGAGACATCATTAATCTAGGATTTATTTTCCTTATTATTACTGTAATTATGTGTCTTTAGTGCTTCAGGTTGTATTTAATAGCTGATGTCTTTTCAGTTCTCAATCATTTATGTTTAGTATTTAGACAGTCACCTAGGGTGCTGAATAGACTCTCTCAGGATTCCTATCTGTATAAATAGCTTATGTACTTCTTGTAAATGAATTCAAGGAAATAATATTCAGAAAACTTCAATAAGAATATAATCTACTGATGAATTTCCTCATCACTTGTGAAATGCAACTCAAGAATCAGAAGCATATTCATTTACTCAAGGTCAAACTACCAACTTAGTGTATAGCTTTATTAAGGTTCTAGCATCATAAGATGTATGTACTATGATACCCTAACTAGATTTAAAGAAAATGCTCTATCAGCTTAAAAATGCTAATGGACAAATTAGAGCAGTGTTTTAAGACCTAATAAGCTAAGCAAATGCAATGAATAAATTATTTAATTTTCTCCAAAAGGCATATCTCAATAGAATGCAACAACTAAAATAGCATTTCATGAATAGCAGCGCTAGACAATGGTTTACCCAGATATTACTTCGTAGGGCACTGAATTTTCCTTCCCACTTGATCTCATATGTTGCAAAATCTGATACAGCCAAAAGCCATGAAGAATATCAAGAATGCAAGCTTATAAGAATGAGTTTTATCTACAGTATTCAAAAGAAGCTCAAACCAACCACATAAAGTTTAGTGGCCAATTTTGTAGGCTCGTCGGTCGAATCCTGAATAAGCTTGTGTAAAAACTTCGCAGCATCCAACTCAACACTCGGTGGATCTTCCATGTTGTTTGAATTAGACAGCAAACCAGCATAAACTAAAACAGTCTACTAAAAGCAAAGGTGGATAATTAATTCAGAATCATATTCCAAAGGTCCGCCAACAAAGCAGCTAGAAAGCACTAAAAAAATGCAGATCACTCAAACTGTGCTTGTTATAGAAGAAAATTTAAAACTATCACATACTCCCTCGAGATGACATGGGCTCAAGCTGGAAGCTTTGGGGACATTCCGTCAAGATCAGGAAGATGACATGTTTTGTGAGTCAACTTGAACGATGGATGCTTGTTTTTTTTGAGACACATAAATTAGGTATGCATTCTTATAAGTAGTATAAAAAGTATTAATTTGAGTTTGCACATCATATTATTCTTTAAATTGGACTTTGCAGCCTGTTTTTAAAAATCTTTGTTTTTTCACCTTAATTCCATATGAAAAGACAAAAGTGCTCTCAATCAGGAATATATAGAAGGTCAACAGAATTATTAATGGAGAGACATTTTTGTCTTTTCATATGGGGTTGTGGTGCAAAAACAAAGATTTTTTAAAACGGGATGCAAAGTCTAATTTAGACAATAATATGGGATGCACTCAAATTACCCCTAAAATCAATACACTTCCGTTTCCAATTGAACAGAGAATTACAGTGAACGTACCAATCACTACATACCCTCACATTCCCAACCAGTGGGTGGCATTTTCGGCCGGGAAAGCAGAAATCACGATTCATAAACCTGTTTTCCGGTGAACTTGACCTCAATAGGACTGACATTCTTACTGATCAACCTCATGTTTTGCCCCACTCCTTGGCGGTCGGGATTAACCTTCTTCGGGTAAACTCCGTCCTTCGGATGCAAGTACTTGACCTCCCCGTTGGGAAAAATCCTATAAATTTGGTAATTGATCTTGTACTTGGATCTCAACCGAGTACCTAGAGCCAGGCAATGCTCCTTCCTGGCTAATTTCAGCAGATTCGGGCCTTCCTGGCTTGTGGATGGTTTACTTTTCTCATATTTTTCTTATGTTTTTTATTTACATTTTTGAGTTTGTTTCCGAATTAATGTGAATTAAAAAGTATTTACATAAATGATGCTGGGTTAAAGGTATTTACGAATATACTCTTGGGTTAATCCGGGTTGGACAAAGTCGTCAAACGGTTTGACGGCTTATAAGTCACCAATCAGGATGGCAACTTATAAGTCGTCAAACGGTTTGGCAACTTTTCCTTTAAAACAGACGAGTCGCCAACCAGTCTGCAGACAGAGCGACATTCATCCCCAAGAAACCCATCCAGTGACTTTGAAGCTCCTGCTCCATCTCCGGTGACTGCATCGACGGTCAAGCCCCTCCACTTACCAAGGATGCTTCACAACCATCTTCTTCAACACTCTTTCCTCTAGGTAAATCAAATCTCCATTTCATTTCATATTTCAACTTAGGGTTTAGAATGGATAAATTTCAAATTTGTAAATTAGGAATTGATTATGAATTGATTTGTTGTGTAATGTGGATAAGTATGAAATGTTGAATTTTAATGTGGACATTAATGTAATATTTTGATTTTGTTAAGTGTAATTATATCATATAGGATTTGCTTAAATATGAGAGTTTTTTAATATGGTGTTATATCTATGAAATGTTGAATTTGGGTGTATAAAGTGTGTATATTAATGTGTACTCGTCAATTATCGTCATGTATTGTTATTAGAATATGGATTTCTCCAACTTCCCAATAGTGTGACCATTGGGGAGGAAAATTATTTGAGGAAGCAGGGGGTACGCTATGAAGGTGGTAGGAGACGGATTGTAGATATTTCTCGTGGCGCATGTATGCTAGAGTTGCTGCAAAAAAATATATGTAGCTACACATATTCCTTCGAGCCATTATGTGGAAGTGCAAGTGAAATATCCCCTTCACGATGCCACTTGATGATGAGAAAGTTGTCACGGGAATGTGGATTATAGTTTAGATGATGATTATGTCCACAATGGAGATATACATTGCAAAATCTACAGCTGACGCTTCTATAACTTCATCAACATCAAATGTTGTTGTATCTAGGCATGGTGTTATGCAGCAGCCTCCCCATATGAGCATGTTTTGAACATGGTTGTAAAGGAGGATGGGAGGTAATGGTTATGTTAATGAACACATCAATGATGATGTTGATGAACATGTCAATGATGATGAAAAAGGTCATCATTGAAATTTTTGGAGGTTGGGAGAAGTCATATTCTGAATTGCCCCATTTCATGGCAGCGTTGAACCATTCCGATTCAGGGACAACTGTGCACTGGTACCCATCCCTTACAGGTCCCACCGAGTGTGTCCATTTTCATAGCGTTTTTTGGGCATTCAAGTCTTTTATTTGTGGTTTTAAGCATTGTCGACCAATATTGACTATTGATGGCACACACATGTATGAGAAGTACAAGGGTACATTACCCATGGTTATGAGAAGCGATGCAAACAATAACTCTTTCGTTTGGCCTTTTGCAATGTCTGAATCAGAGAATGGGGAGAGTTGGCCATGGTTTATGGCATGCATTCGGGCGTTTGTAACCAAATAAGAATTATGTGTCATTTCTGATTGACATCTAGGTATTATAAAGGCAGTGAATGAGGTGGTCAACAGTGTGGTGACAAATGCTTGATACTTGCCCATCACAACTTTGGTTCAGGTTTCCTTTTACCGCGTCAATGCATATTTTGTGGATAGACGTGAAAGTAGCAAAAGAAGAGTGACAGAAGGCCATGAATACTCGCCACACATAACAGATATCATTGAGAAAAATAAGGATGATTCAAAACACCACACTGTCACTGCATTTGATATAGGCCGAAGGCTATACCAAGTGGAAACAGGATGTGGCGGCCGAACGTTAGGAAAGGGTGGAAAAAAGCAAACAGTTAATTTGCAGAGGCGTACTTGTACTTGTAAGAAAGTGGAAATATATAAGATTTTGTGCTCACATGTATTAGTTGTGTGTAGACAACATAGTTTGTCTTATCATACTTTTGTAAAACCTTTTTTCTTATTGGCCGACTTACATTGTATCACGAATTGTGCACGATCCATCCATGTTTCGGGCAAAGGGACGACCTAAGTCTACACGAATTAAGAATGAGATGGATGAAGGTGGAAGAGAAACCGTTAGATGTGAAATTTGTAAACAAATTTGTCATAATAGGGTTACATGTACGAAGAAATCTTCAGGACATTGTGGGGTCCACTGGGTAAGGTTTTAACTCTAAAATTCACAACTCCTACTAATATGATTAGAAAATGAGAAATTTATGTAAATTTATTAATTAATTAATGACTAACAGATGTTTTCATGTAATGTAGGCACTATGGAGGTGTCAGTGGATCTAGGACCAATTGATCGTTCTGTCCTCACATTGCATGCCACACATAGGACTGGGGACGTGTGGTGTGGCCTCGATGTGTAGGTTGATAGGTGTCGAGAGCACCTCCTTAGTTTGTTCCACGTGCAGGTAGACGATAGAGTTTTACCGTATGTTAGAGTAACATTTGTTTGTGTCCATAGATTGATGTCGACTCTCCCACTTGATAGAACTCTAGTCACTGCTCTTCCTGAGCGTTGGAGGAAGGAGGCGCACACATTTCACCTTCCGGTTGGTGAGGTGACAGTGACCTTGGGGGAGCAGTTACAGGTACTGCATGTCGATCATGGGTTGAGGATGTGGAGCGATTGTTAGGTGTTCACCCCCTTCTCCGGAAAGACATTCATGTATCATCTTTGAAGATGTCATGGCTGAGGGAGCATTTTGTTGTGCTTCCTCCGGATACAGATAATGTGATGATTTAACAGCATGCACGAGCATACATTTTGATGTTGATGGGAGCTTCCACTTTTGTTAACAAGAGTGCAAATGAGGTTTAAGTCCTGTATTTGCCTATGCTAGAGAGTTTTAATGTCGATGCATACTTCAGTTGGGGTAGTGTCACTCTAGCTTATCTATACTAGATTCTCACCCGTGTGATGCACAGATGAAAATTTACCAATTTGTGATTAAGAAGTCTATTATAAAAATGCAAAAAAAAAATTGAACGCAAAATTAAAATGGTAAGTAATATAATAAATGTCTGTAGTTAAAGAGAAATTGAAACATACTCGAATACGGGTGTATGTAATCTTATTTTTTGCAAAGGCAAATGTAAATATTAAAAAAGAGATATTACATTTCAAAGTACGAAGTGGTAAGCAAAATAATAAGTGTTCATAGTAAAAGTACAAAATTTCAAAGACTTCTTTGTACACAACATTAGTAGTATGATCGATTTGTTTGCCATCTTCATCACTGATCAATATTTTCAAGCCTTTGCGATTGGTAACCCTTGACGCTACAACATAAAGTTGACCATGAGTTAAGACTGGTGTTTTTAATAAAAGTCCAACATGCGTCAAAGATTGACTTTGGCTCTTGTTTATAGTCATCGCATAAGAGGTCATGATTGGAAACTGCTTTCTTTGGAACTTGAATGGTATTATTGCATCTGAAGGTCTTAGTGTCAATCTTGGTATGACTACTTCTTGACCATCAAAATTTTCTCCTAAAATTGTAGCTCCAATAACATGATTTCCAAGCCTTGTAATAATCAACCTTGTGTCATTGCATAAGACCATAGAATGATCAATGTTCCTAATAGCGGTTATATTTAGTTGTGTTTAACATAAGTATTTATAAGTTTTTTTTGAATAAAAGAAGAGAAATCGGGCAAATACCTTCAGAATGAGAGCTAGAGCATAAAACATCGTGATGAACGGCTTTTTGGACCAAGAGGATGACGTTTTGCCCATAATTCGAGTATAACTTATTGTAGAGAATTCCAAATGACTTTATTCAAAGTTTAATGTGAATGATAACTCAATAATATACAAATCTTGTGAATACATCATGGCCAGAATATGAAAGGATCAAGAGTCAATCAACCAATAAATTCAGATGTTGCTGGCGGGATTTCAGGATACAGACCTCTCAATGTTTTATCCATATCTTTTAATCGGATGACTAAAAATACGTCATTCAAGTTTTGGTGGATAGAAGACTTCATTATATACAACTTTGGTCAAGGAATCATGTCCAAATTTGTAGCGGAACATCCCAAAATCCCAGGACAAAACCGGCGCTGGTCTGCTCTTATAACCGGCGTCGGTCCTTTGATTTTCGCACATATATAGCAA